TGTGAACGCGTCGTAGGAAGTATAGCGGGCGAGCGCACACTGAGCGTCCCCCACAGTAGCAAACTCGCAAACCCGTATCCCCAGCTCTCGTTCGTTCGGCGATCACGTACCAGTAGAACACGGCAAATCGACCCATCGCGAGCACCAAGGTTACTGTCGCCGGTTGTAGACGCGACCTTGGCCCCCTTCTTTGCTGCTCCACCGACCCCGGATGAACCAGGCTGTGTGGAGGCAGCACCAGGCTTGGTCTGTTTGCAAAGTTTCGCAACGCCCTTGGCCAACATTTCCTCGGTCACGCTGGACTCGAGGCCTCTGAAGAGGAGAAACTGCGAGGGCGTGCCATCGGTCGAGACGTCATTGTCGCCGTTGTTGGCTACCTTGACGGTCTCTTCCACCGGGAGCAGAGCGGCATCTAACCAATGTTAACACGTATAGCTGTTGGTTTGAAACTAATATCTATATCGTACCTGGTTTTGATGCCTGACAACGGAAGCACCGTTGCCTGCCTGCAAAGTTGACAATCGAACACTACCAAGAATTAGCCTCGGTACAATTCACGCTCAAGCTCAACGGGACTCACGTTGATACAGGTCCATTCCCCGTCACCTCGGGCCCTGTTGCGGTCCTCTCTCTCGCGACTGTAGGCAATCCTGACCTTTGCACCCTGACCGTCTGCACCGGCTTTACCATAGAGATATATGGCAGGAAAGTTGCCTTCCAAAAACTCTCGCGAGTCGTCAATAGTCGGGAATCGAATAAACGCAAGCTGCCGTGACATTTCTAGGCAAGTCAGGATATACCTATACATCTACTAATACGAAAAGGACTTACTGGTTTGTCTGTCACGAATGACGCGGACGTCCTCGAGGCCCCGAATATGATAGTGCTGTGCAAGTTCACTCGTGACCTGTGTAAAGAAGGAAGAGGAAGACATCCAGTTCCATCTCAGCATACTGTCATCCAAAACAAAAGTGAGAGAAAGAGAAGGAGGGTCGAACGTCTTCTTCGGTCATGTCCACGGGCAGGCCTTCCATCATGATCTCTCGACTCTCCGTCCCGTAGTGGCGAAGAGGACGGGCATGGCGTCGACCTTTGCTCCGACTGCGGCTATAACTTCGACTTCGGCTTCTCGTTCGACTTCTGGTTCGACTGTGACTTCGGCTGCGGCTGTATCTCATATCGTAGCTTGGAGGAGACCGGTAGCCCTCGCGGTCTCTGTCTCTGTAGCCGGCGTCTCTGCCCCGATAGTAACGCGGCGGCGAGCGTGAGGACTGTCTGTAGGGCTCCCGGCCTTTGTCACGGTAGTCGTCTGCACTGTTTTCGCGCCTCCTGTCGGCCGTCCGGGCATCTTGGGCGTAGTACGAGTCTGGTCCTATCAGCAGAGCTCGGGAGAAGCAGTAGAAATGCAAGAGCAAGAACAAGAGCAAAGAAGAAAAGAAGACAGCTCCATGGCAGGAGAAGGGCCAGAACACGGAGAGTAAGGCAGCTCCGTACCGCCAGGGGAATCGTATCTCTGTCGAGAGTCTGGGGGCGAGGGTGATCGAGGATGTCTTTCGCCGTATCGTGGCCGACCACGGTCAGCGTATCTGCCTTCCGGGCCACGGTAGGCCATGACGGAGCCGTGAGCAGAATAAGATGAACTACGAAGCTGGTCTTGTGTCTCGATGATTGATATCTGTAACTGAAGCTGTGGCTGTAGCTGTAGCTGGAGCTATTACCTGGTGATGGAGGTCGAGAACTTTTGATGGCCGGAGATAAGTTAATCCGACGAGCCATGGAAGAACCTCGTATATAAGGATATAGAGAAGATGTAGGAAGAAGATGCTGAGTTACTAAGGGAACGGATTCTCCAATGACGCTCCGATCTATCTATTCCGGCCTTTGCATGTATATACGTATATCTAGCATGTGTGGTTTCTGTATTCCACCTCAGTTCACACCTGGTAACTAATAAATATATAGTAAAAACATAGTGGATGTCAACTAAAGCAACCCATGTAGATTAAGCATGGCATCTAAAGCACACACATGTATACATGTATACATATATCCACATTTCCATCTCCTATATCTCATATATTTCATCCACACATCCCACATTATATCTATATCTCTTATCTTTTCAACATCTTATCTGATCCCCTTCACGTGACTGATTTGTCATCACATCCATGACTAAGCAAAAGCGGCTCCTTCGACTTCTTCAGCTTTCAACGACATAAAAAAAGTGACAAAAGTCCAACAACTCGGGAAGAAGGAAACAAAAAGTGACGGACGGAGTGACACGATGAAACAGACACGATGAAACAGAGAAGAAGAGGAAGAAGAAGCGGATGACAGGCGTCACTTAACAGGGTCCCCTCAGAGGCGTCTGGATGGAGGGGAGGCTGGGAAATGGCGGGCCACTCCCAGCCTCCCACATAGCAGAAGCCAGCCAGCCAGATGGCGACACAACCCCAACCACCGCAGCAACCAGTTTAAACCAGGAAGAAATAATAACAACAATAAGAGGGCGGGCCCAGTCACTATCCATCTTTTAATTTTTTTTACCTCTCTCAAAGTGTCTTCACCGTCGAGAGACTCTATAGCAAGTCCACCATGCAGCAGCATCACCCACTCGAGACGCCCCGGTTGAAGGTCGTTGGTAGTAAGCTAGCCCCGTCATACGTGCATAGAGAGGTATATATATTGACTGATGTCTATAGGCAGTCAACCGAAGCTGGTTCACACGCCTTCGCAGCAGTCCATCGCCGCCTCGGACGACTACTACTCTTTCTCAGATCTCACCGCCCGCTCCAGCACCAGCAGGGTCACAGTAGTTCCCTACCAGACAGCCCCTTCCAGGCATCCTTCCCCGGCCCGGGACGCTCACCAGGCTGCCCAGGGGACACAACATACGCAGAATACACAGCATACACAAGAGACACAAGGGACGCTGCATAGGCCGGCTAGAGTTGTCAATATGAGCACCGCAGCTAGAGGGGACAGCGGTACCCCGACACCAGGCACGGATGACTCGCCCTACATTCGCTTTGCCATCGACCAGTTGACCAGAGATGAGGAGCTTAGGGGAGAGGGCCGTCATGGCTCACTCGCTACCTCTCCAGACTACCCCGTCAACCGTCTCATCCCGGACGAGGGCCTCGGATACTACACCCCAAAGACCACCGCCACTATAGAAAACAACAACAACAATAACCACACTAATAACCACATCAATGATAATAATGATATTAATGGCAACGAAAAAACCACGAATTCAGTGCTTGTGGCAGTGGAACCCTTGGGCAACACGCTGAATTTTGTTCCCTATGTCCTTCGCCCGATTTTGTTCGCACCTGGTATCCTCCTCACCCTCGCCATGGTTGCTGCCCTCGCATTCTGCAACGTCTGGTCGCAAAGGCATGATGGCCTAGCTGCGTACGTCTACTTTGGCGGATCAGAGTACTTCCTCTTCGAGTTTCTACCTCAGATCATCGGTATCTTCTTTGTCCTCTGGCTCTTCGTCCTCCAGGCCGCCGTCTATCGCATCGCCCCTCTCTCCGGCATAGCTCGCCCCCAGACGGCTAGAGACACCACCTTCCAGCGGCTGTCCATGCTGCCCAGGAACTTCCTGCTCCCCGACCTCTCCCATTTCAAATACGGCGAGCCTGTTGTCGGTGTCTGTCTACTCGTCTTCTGGCTCGTCAATTGGTTCACCGTTCCTCTCCTCAGCTGTCTCTTCCAGCCCCGCTACTACGGCACCCTCGAGGACGGTGGTTTCCGCTGGGTCAGTGTCCAGGGGGTTGGCTGGATGCTATTCGCACTCTACGCCCTTCTCGTAATCGCCTTACTCGCCATTCTAGCCCGCTTTGGCTTCGGGACCAGCGGCCTGCAGTGGGACCCTGTCAGCCTGGCAGACGTCATCCCGCTCATCCAACGGTCAAATGTGCTCCACGACTTTGACCAGTCAGAGGTCACCCCCAACGTAGCTGGCCACCTCCCTCCTAGAAAGCTGCGTCTGGGCTACTGGAAGGCCTCCTCTGCTCCAGAAGATACTTTTTATGCTCTTGGTCAAGAGTCCGCCCCGCTCAAGAGAGTCTCCTCCGTTGACCGGCTGCTCGAAAAGGGCCATAGCCACAAAAGAAGCAACAGCACCAACAGCATCAAGAACGATCCCGTCGACATTGAGCGCCAAGAACTCCACAGCAAAGACTCCTTTGAAAGGAGCTTGCATTCGCCCTTCTTCCGCTACCGCTGGGCGCCCTGGTTCCTCAAGGACACCTTTGTCGTCGTATGGATACTGATCGCGTTTGTCCTTCTGATTGGTTTTATCACAGTCAGCTTCGTCAACCGCCCATTGGAGCGAGGCTTCCTTCCGCTCCTCCCGACCCTCCCCTCCGCCTCTGGCTTCTCGTCATCCAATTTCCTCTTCAGCTTCATACCCGCCTTGCTCGGAAACTTTCTCTTCCTTGCCTGGCAGCCCATTGACGTCTATTTCCGAGCCGCCCAGGCGTACGCCGACCTCTCTTCTCCACGGGGTGCCTTCGCAGAGCAGTCGCTCTTGCTCTCCTACAACGCATGTCTACCTATTGAGGCCACCTTCCGCGCCCTCGTTGCCCGTCATTACAAGGTAGCCTATATATCTTTTATTGGCGTCGCCTCCCTCACTCTCCCAGTCCTCGCCGGAGGCGTGTTCATGGCCCGTTTCTATGCCGAACAAGAACAAGTGCGGATCTCCTCCTACTCGCCAGCATACTATACCCTTATCGCCTTTGCCATCCTCTACGCGTTCTCCTTCCTTACCATCTGGCCACGACGCAAACGCTACCTCCCCCACCCACTCTACACCTACGCAGATACCATCAGCTTCCTCTACCAGAGCCCCTTGCTCGTCGACAAGGTCTTCCGTGAGCCCAAAACGAAGACTGACCTCGTTACTCGCACCATCGTCGCGCCTCCTGGCGAGAGCCACAAGGCTCTCTACGCTTTTGGCGTCTACTACGGCCAAGATGGCAAGGGCCATCTCGGCATAGACCGTCTTCGAAGGCTCGAGGGCGACGAATGAATCATTAGACCACTTGTTTTGTTATTTCTTTCTCTTTTTTTTTTTGTTTTGCTTTTTCGGAATGTTACCACAGCGTGGAGTTACGGATGTCATGTATAATGCTTTCATGAGCGTTCTCGCGACGATATTACATTAATGCTTAAAAGTACGGATAAACGAGACAGCAACGAGAAATGTATGTTACGAATGAAATGATGAATCTCTATTTTTGACCCAAACTCCTAAACCACGTCGTCGACGAGTATAAATCATACACATCCATCATTAACCCATAGTATAGAAAGAAAAGAAGAGGAAGGTAGGTGAGTTGACATCGGAATTAGTGATCCTCGCCAGGCATCAACGGCTGCTTGTGAACAGCCATATAAGATGTATCGGTAGAAGACAAGGGCAGCGAGTCGGCAAATTTGGCAGCCACAAAGTCGCTTCTCATCTGTGGGAAGCAGTCTCCGGCATGGAAGACCGTCATGAGCATGGCAGCGACCAGACATAGGCTACTCTTCATGTTAGTACAAGTACCAACGGAAGCTGCAGAAGAAGATGAAAGAGAAGAAGAAGAGAAGAACTTACAATGACTCGAGAACGACAAAAGAGACCTCATCCTGCATGATCTCGTTTCTCCAGCCTCCGACCATCTCGGCAATTCTACCCAAAGTCAGCATATACGGGAAACTGGTAAGGCACGATAATAGGAGAAGAGAGGGGACGAACCTGTAGACGCATCGGATGAAGATGAAGAGGAAGGCGATGGTGGTACTTCCGAGGAAGAGCTTGAACTTCCTGCTGCCCCAGAGCTGCTTCGCAGTCGGGTTGGCCGTGTGTCTCCTCTCGCTCCTGAGACGCCAGAAGAAGTGCGCGACCAGAAAGCCGAAGACGGTCAGGGTAAAGACCTGCCAGACGATACCAGCAATCATGACGTTGGTGCCGGCGTCCTGCTGGGCCTTGTTGCTCTTTGCCGTGGCAGCGAGACCACCGCCGATTCCCTGCAGGGTGAGGGAGAGCAGGTCGACGCCGATGAAGATCCAGGTGTAGAAACGGGGCTTGAGAAGGGAGAGATTCGGCCCTAGGGCGAGACAGAGGTGCTTGAGGGTCAGGTAGATGGCTGCACTGAAGAAGGCCGGAGCCATGATCAGGGTGGTAATCTGCATCTGGAAGCCGGTCGAAGAGAAGGGGTTATCATGCAGGATAATTCGGCCAATGTAGCCTACGGACAGATTAGCAGACATCCTTCGGCCATATCGGGAGTCAATGGGTGCCAAAAAAGAGGGGCTTACCTATAACTTCACCTAGACAGCCGACGGTCATGGCAAAGCTGTAGCTGTAGGTCTTGTACTTGAGCGTCTGCCATCCTTGGATAAGCATGAGGATGCCAAAGAGGGCGGCCAGGGCAGCATTGATCGGGAGGTTAGGATAGTATCCATAGATCGAGGCCTGTACGGGGCATTTGGCCGTCACTTCTGTGCACGATAGGGGGTTTCCTTCCATCGTGCTGGTGGTGGGCAGTGATATCACCGTCGATGGTCTCAATGTATATATACGATATCAGAATATCAAATGTCCAAGTTCTGCCAGAGAGAAGACAAGGCCGGGAGCAAGCCATGATATTTATCTTCCCCGTCCCAATCTAATCCTTCATGTTTTATAAGCCATCTCACAGCTTTCAAGGAGTTTTATGCCAACCGTCCAGGCTGAGCATGAGTTGCGAACGGGCGACAAGGACCCCTGGCCCTGACGGCATGGCAGCCATGTGTTGGATATATGCTGTGAGAGGCATAAGCCCGCGGATAGGTGGCAAGGCTTGCTGGTGTCACTGTATATGAGGAAGACAGCGGGCTGATCTGGCTTAAGAGCCGGTTTCCTAGGGACATATACCTGTATGGCAGCAGTCCATCTTCCAGCCCACAGTGCGCATGTCAAACACCGTCTGTACAGAGTAAATGAGTGCAACAACTAGTACAAGAGATCGACACGGCATCTCATCCTTCGAAATCCTCCATGGCCAAGCTGCTGCGTGGTGATTAGAAGACAGTTACGTCCGTTAGAAAACGGAGATATCTGAATCGCCCGTAAGGTCAGCCATGCTATTCTTGATAGTAAAAATTAGGATAATACTTGCTCTTTAAGCCTCAAAGCTCTATATCTCCGTTAGTTTTATCGTACGTAGCTAAAATATGAACATGTTTCAAATATAGATGTTGTTTTGGTCGGAGCCTCTAGAGCTCGCTCAGGGCTACATAGTAGATAGTACGGTAGGCCACATAGCCGCTAGCGTCAAGACTCAAATACTTAGTCAGCTCACGTGCTCTTGCTCCTTGTACTTACATAATACATTAGTAATAACAATTAGTCGCTGACTAATTGTCACACGTGACTATAACTATCCATGGGTCAAGTACTCCGTATTTATCCATATAACTCACCAACCTGTGTCCGCACGCTTGGTGCACAACTACACTCGTTGTCTAGCATTCCCGAGGAACACTTATCGTCCATTAGACATATAGTTAGCTGTTCTAACTATACTACATCATCTAGAGCGGGCCGTGGAATGCACTGTTTAACAGTTTGAACAGGCGCAGCTTTCTACTATACCCTCTCAGAAGAAGAAACTAATCCTACGCTTCCATTCAAGGCATTCTCCGGCCAGCCCGCGGATCTGTTCGGATCCATGACACAACGCCACTAAGAGAGAGTATTTATACAACCTCCATTCCCACACATTCAAAAATAAAAAAGAAAATAGAAAGAAATTACATTTACCACAACAAATCACAAATATATCGTCGCCCAAGAGTACGGAAGCGCGGAAACTATACTTGTTTTACATGTGTAGTATTAACTCCCCATCATCACTACTTCATCGGGCAGGCATGGTGCGGCGTTGGGGCCATAGACTGGACCTAGGTATTAGTATAATTAGTATGGGGCAGGCTGATATCCAGTGCCTATATGAGACCGCCGGAGGTATAATGAGTGGGGTGATGGAGGTAAAGTAGCGGAGAGATATCGACCCTTCGTTCCACGGGACCCAGCAAGGAGAAGATGGACCAGCTGAAGCATCTCCTTAGCCAAGCTCAACGCAGGCTGCATATAGCGAGACTGCAGTAACTGTCATCATACCAGTCTGTGACAACCAAACCCATGGGAGCGCACCCAAGACATACCGCCAGACATCAGTGGCGATCTGTCTACACTATCGAAACAACGTGACCCAGGGGATATCTCAACGCATATAAGGCGGAGATTGATGAGTCGACCAAACAGATACGCTAAATACTAAGAAAAAAAAGGCCGAGTAGCAGAATTCTACGTTGCTATGGCGCCACTGGGATAATAGATTTGTGTTTGGCTAATATGTTGCTTGGGTGCATTACCTGATCCATTTTCTAGCCCACTGACTATCCTATTTGATATCCACTCGTCTCCTGCCTCACCTGCCATCCTCATCAGCACTACTTCACTGATATCCTGCGTATCCCCTATGATGACTTGGATTCTGAGGGGCGATGTATTGCAGATTCCTAGAAAGGTTTGTCAGCCAAAGGCCGGCATCATAGTTACCACGCGGCTTCATCATTGCACAGAGACTCAGAAGGGTGTACGCTAATCACTTGCCTTTCTATCCTGCGTATCCCCTATGATGACTTGGATTCTGAGGGGCGGTATATTGCAGATCCCTAGAGGCAAGGTTTGTCAGCCAAAGGCCGGCATCATAGTTACCACGAGGCTTCATCATTGCCCGGAGACTCAGAAGGGTGTACGCTAATCACTTGCCTTTCTATCCTGCTAGTATCCCCTATGATGATTTGGATTCTGAGGGGTATATTAGAGCCAGAAGGAAAACATAGTGAATCGGCAGTACCTAATGCAATATCCCAACTAGAAAGGCTTAAGAATCAATATCGAACGAAGATATTACTAATAGAAGGTATCGTCAAGCGTATAGATTATTTCGGCCATAAATCATGTTATATGAATTGGTTTGCATAACACAGCGGGTGAAAAGACTTGGAAAAGAAGAAGACTACGAAGATGGAGAAACGTCTTTATTTATTTACAATCTTCTCACGGCGCTCCCGCCATTGCAATATACACTGTTCTTTGCAGAGTGTCCGGCAAGATACTAAGATTGCAGCTGGTTAAATATCAACATGTTTCAAATATAAATAATGCGCTGTTTTGGTCCCTGAATGTTGTAGCTCAACTTGCACTCTTTAATAAACAAGAACCTGTGGGGATTGGGGTGAACTCCTTAATAGCCATTTTATGTTCTCTTGACGGTCTCGAGTCTACGGCCTGGGGTAAAAATAGGGTTGCTGGTTGAAAAGATGACAAGAAACTATGAGTAGGTTGAAGTAGTCTACCATACTTGTCTCTGCATTTTTCTCTGGATCATAAGTAAGAATATAAAATTATCGTCTACATACTTAGGGATGCATATAGAGTTTCGTCTCCTTTTTATTCACTAAGATCTATCCACTGGCGCTATAGAAGCTTTCCTTTGATGACAAGGAGCGTACTAATAACCTGGTATTCTTTTGCCGATGGTTCCAAAGGAATGTCCGCCGATCATCATCGGGTAGGCCAGAGCAAAGAGTGCCTTTGTGTTATCGACTCCCTCCGTGCTGGGTACGTCGATCCAGGGCGAGATACTATACTCAGGACTATGCCTTGTGCTTCTTATTGCATATTTGGCGAAGCTAGATGGAAGAAAGCTTGTTTCTGAAAAGTCGACGACAGTGACCTGGCCATCGTTGATGATGAAGTTACCGGGATGTATGTCCGAGAAGGTGAAGACTATAGGCTCGCGTGAGAGGTCTTGCACGCGCGGTTTCGATTTTGTGAGGTGTAAAAACTGTCCGTGTATTAGATACGCCATATGTCTCATAAAACACTAATATAGTACATACTAAGTTGATATGCTGCTCGAGCTGCTCGACTGTCTGGTAATGCCGGGGGGCCTCGTAGTCCTGGAAAAAGGGATGTCGAGCAACCCCTCCATCAATGGCGGCTGGGCGAGACTGGGGCGGAACGGGGATGCGTAGCAGCTCCTGTATGCCAGCAGCCATCTGACGGTAGACTGCCTCCCTCTCCGCCGGCTCTGAAGTTTCTTCGAGTATCTGGGAGCCAGTCTTGCCCTCGATGTACTCCATGACAATGTAGGTAACGGAATCTGCTGTAAAGGCGTAGAAGACCGCAGGCACTCTGACGGGAGATCCAAGTCGCTGAAGCTCTCGACGGGCTATAGTGAGAGCAAGAACCTCGTTCCAGTAAACCCCAGAGCCGTATTTGATCCAGAAAATTGGCTTTTCTGCTGATGGATAGGCGAGACCCCTAAGAGTCTGGTGTCCACGCTTTTCGCAGACATCCACGATCTCAGCAGTCGATGGAAGCTGGACGCCAGCTGGCAGTTCTATGCCGTGAAACTCTTTCTTCAAGAACATGGTAGTTGGGCAGTTTGCGTAGTATCTCACAATTAGATAGCAGGAGCATTAGGAGAGTCCAGGAAATACTAGTAGTTATAGGAGAGTGCTCGTCGACAGAGAATAAATCACTGGTACATCGCACTAGAGTGATATGATGTGATGGGGCCGTTTTGAGTTCCCCGCCTGCTACGCCCCTTGACGTCGATGGGCGGCTAGATACTTTCTCCAGTAGGTTACGGAGTAGTTAACCTTAAATGCCCAATAAGAACCATGCTTGGCGGCGTTGAGGCTGAACCTTGCATAAAAAACAGAAGAGGTCGACGTATTTCCGAGTGCTTCCACAGACTCCAGTTAGTATACAACATGCTAGGAACCATGCATGAACGCTGGCCCTCTTCGCTTTGGTGTGCTCTACCTAGTGATGCCTAGGTGAGCATTAGCTGTTTGCGACTAGATGGTTATTTTTTCTGCCTGGACGTGCAGCTGGAAGCGCCAGTCCAACAATACCCGTTAGATATTGAGAATGCGATTGGAACGGAGTATGATGTGCCGCGTTTTCAGCAGCTGGGGGCTTATTGATATCCCTTGCTATGCCGACCATAGCACCTGCCTTGCATATCTAACTGGCTATTCTCTTGCCTTCTCTTGCTCTTTGAAACATCTGAGAGAGTAGGCTACGAGCCTTGTCTAAGCTATTGGTGACGGGCACCTCTAAATATGGTTTCACTTAGCACTGTTGGCATTGGTTTTTATGCGCTCGGGATGGATTTGAATGAGTTGTGATAGCCCAGCCCAAGTGGGTACTCCCAAAATTGATTTCAAATATAAGCCGGCCGATTATGATGGTACTCGCATGTCTGCGGAGATCGACTTTGGCACCGGTAGATTCTTTAATTGGCCAGAATTACAGCCGCATTATGAAGGCGGCAATTTTATATAAGATGCCTTGTAAGTACCTTTACCTGTCTTCAGATGTATCTGCTGTACCGTCAGCGAATATTCAAACATGCATGCCAAGATACCTTATTCATTGCATCCGAAGAAGGGCCCTACCATTGTCATCGTTCAACCGTTACGCAATTATTCCTGAAGGCATCCTACATTGATGCTCGTCCCACCCTGGCCAATTTTGTACAAGGATAAACCAATACTGACATTAAATGAGAAATACTACTACTAGCAAGCGGTTGAATCATATCGAAGGATGGAATAGATCTGGTCCAAATGTCAATTTCTAAGTCGAGAGACCAAGTCAAACATACTCAACTTTCTCTCCCCTATATCAGGGCTCCCCTCGCCACCCAGGTCTGTCTGCGTTGCTGCATTTTCTCTGCCCAAAGGAGGCAGCCCATATGCAACTGGTGCCTGCTCAGGTGCCGTTGTATAGTGTTCTAAGGGCCTTCCCTCCGCCCCGGTATCCCCGCCAGATGGGCCAAGTTTGTTTTGGCTGTGTTGTCTTCCAAAGGCTACCAGGCGAACGTTAGCATCTAATTGCTGCATTCGTTATATTAGCTACTTACGGTGGATGGGAGATTGGCCCGTGCGGAATCTAGAAGAGCCTCCAGGCATCAGTGGTTTATCTTCCCCACTTGGCACCACCCCCTTTCCTTTCCACTTTAAATCACTTTCCGTTGAATAGTCCTGGGTCTGGGACTGCCAATTCTGTCGTGGATGATGGTAGTCGGAGGATGGTTGACCTTTAGTGTCGTGATCTGCATTTTCCAAGCTTCCCTGTCTCGTGTTCTCCAGACGAGTCATGCCATGGGAATATCCATTACTGGAGAAGGTGGAAGGTACGGGGCCGGATCGAGCCTTATGGATGCGGAGAGGGTTAGGCCGGAGGTAAGAAAGTGAAGACTCACCGCCTCCAGACTTTGGTGGGCTATGTGAGCCACTCTGTCCATATGCAGGCTGGCCAAGTCTATATCTGTCTGGAGACGTGTGCATCGGCTGGCCCCTTAACGGACGAGGACTGCTGGTAAAGCTAAAGTTCTGACCACGAGGGCTAGAGCCAACCGTATTTGAGCTGTCTTCTACTTCCTGCCTCATGCTTGGTCTTGCATAGTCTCGATGGTATTCACGGTAAGTAGACTGCCCGTAGGAGCTATCCTGATATGAGTTGCTACTTTCGCCTCCATATGGATGTTGAGCGTTCGATTCTACTAAAACGCCCCTGTAGTTTAGTATTTCATCATAACTATCAAGGGTACATATGAACAAAAGGGCAAAGAGTGAGTATGACCTTCACTAAAGGAAACTGATATGTTTTAATGAAAGAACTCACCGTATGTATGGTCTTTTGACAGTTGGCGCAATGGTATTGACTGCTGTGCTCTAAAGCCACCGCCACGACCTCCAGAACTTAATGGAAATAACGTAGTGGATCTAGACAGTGCATGGCTTGGTGCTCCTACATCATGTAGTTCATCATGCGACAATGCAGGAGAGTCTGGGAATTTATTTGCAACTCCATAGTTCTGCATAGTATAACCGCTCTGTGCCTTCTGACTAAAAACAAATGGAGGTGTTATATTTGACTGCTGGTTGTGTTTCCGGATCAAGCGCTGTATTCTCGGCCCTGTATCTGGTGTATAAGCGGTATTGACCGGCGATGAGGGCCCTTGAGAATCTAGCCGTTGACACCTACTGTTGAGGGCAGATTCGCCTGTCCTTACAAGAGAGGTGTCGCTCCCAGAAATTCCATGTAAATGCTTAAACCAGAGAAGAGTCATGATGAGAAACACGATAACAAGAGCAGTTATGAGCAAGGGTGTTAGAAGTTCAGACTTATTGTTCGCCTCTCTCATTGTCGGGATCTTGTAGCCAAGCTAGAACCCCTTCACGTGAGGAATGATTATACAGATAGGAGGAGTCTCGCATGAGCTGACCGGATTCAAGATAACGTGGGTATAGGCGTAGGAATAACGATGCGCCTATTTCCCGTCTATATTACTGTGCTCATGAGACCGTATCCTCCTTGCTAGAAATAAAAGTGAGACTTGAGAAACACCAAGCGATCAAAGAAAGGAAGCTTGTCAGTTTTCCATAGGCCGGAGGGCTCCGACATAGCCTGATATTTTGGGGGAGCTGGAAAACGAATTCATTGGGGGAGACAGGGTACCCATTCACTCTCTAAGGGCTGCAGTCGCGCATTGTTGAAAGTGGTTCACTGTGCTAGACAGTAGCACAGTAGTTCCCTCCCTTAGTCTTGCTATAAGATGTATTGCACTGAGACTTTACCTCTTCCTCTAAGGTGAACAATAGGGCTTCAAATAGCCATTTGGCTTCGTTTTTGTCCCCTGTCAGCGGGCTTTTTACTCCGACCCAACTCCATTTCTCCCCAATACTAAGACCAGGGGGTTTCTCTGCTAGAAGACGGGCTCTCTCAGGCGTTGATATTTGGGTGTCCTCAGGAGGTATCTGGGTGAAGGGGCAGCAGCCTTCAGCACATCCCATCAGGCCTAGATAGTAGCACCATTCATCATGGCTATAATGTTTTGGCGGATTGCATGAGAGGTCATTGTAGATCTTCCCAAGCTCGTGAACTATTGCACACCATCTTTGTGAAGGCGGGCGTATTTCCTCGAGTTCTGTATCTTGGGGAGCCGTTTTCTCCATCATCGAAGCAGAATGATATGTATGGGGATGGTCGCTTATGGGTTGGGTACCATTATTATTCTCTGTAAAGCGTCCTCGACGTCGGATAGACTCAATCATACCGCGGAGGAACGTGAATAGTCGGTTTTTAATACCGGCCTCATATGGGAATAGAGTCAAATCACCAGCAAAAATAGTGGCGTCGTGGAATATTTTTGCGACAGTATCGCCCATGCTCGAGATCAGAATAGTGGTTGTGGGGATAGCTAGAAGTGACCATAGAACGAAGAATGGCTTCCCCCAGGTCTGACCCAAGGTCACATCGCCATAACCGATGGTAAGGAGATTCACATAGGCGAAATATATTGATGTAAAATAAGTCCAGCCAGATTCCTGTTCCGCCATCCAAAAGGCAACAGCGCCGATTAGCCAGAGTATTGCCCATGCCAAAACTGAGATGAGAAGTGAAAGCCACCGGAGCTGCCAGGCACAGGTCTTGTGTATACGATGCATGAGATGGAACTCTTCTCGCTGGAGTTGCTTTTCAGACAACGTACTACCCTGATCCGCCAGTGGTCTTAGCACCCGCTTCTTCGTATCTCCTGACTGCAGCTGCTCTGTCACCACGTTTCTCGTCTTTTCCATTGTCCTCACAGTGAGTTGCGTCCTTGCCCTCTCGACCATCAACGATCTGATGGACATGACGACCAGGCCAAGAGTGAGAATCCCTCCAACACCAAATGGGAACAAGAGGCTTCGGCCAAGATGGGTGGACGGCGCGAGATCGCCGATCCCATTCGTAAGAAGAGTAAAATCAGCCCAGTACACAGCATCGAGGTAGCTCCAGTTTTCAACCTTGGAGAAGATGGCAGCACCTATCAGCAGGTACATCATGTAGAGTATTGTTTGCAGCATCAGTGACCGTTGGCTAGTGGTTAGATTAAATTGTTTGCTATAACGCCCGGTTCTGGCGCCGTAACCTGTGACAAGCAGGAGAGAGGAGACAAAGAAGTAGTTGGCAGCGGCCATGATGGCGTAGTAGTACGCCTGGGTCATCTGTCTCCCGTCCATATCAGTCACCCGAGGCATCGCAGCAGTTAGCCCAATCAGCAGAATCGAGGCAACATACCACCCGCCTATTGTTATAGGCTGGCTGATAGTGAAGCTTATTCGTCGTGCCATGTTCAGTAGAAGAGACAAGTTCGAAACCAAAGCAAAGCCGAGAGAGACAGAGTTGATCACAATCGCCCTAGAACGAGGACCTTCAACGTCAGAACGACTCTCTTTCCAAATGATCCAATTTGGGTAAAGCTACCATGATGGGTCTTTAACGGTTCTTGGAATTGTGCCGGTTGCAACGGTCCCTATCTCTGCTCTCCAGTCCTGGGAGAGCGAGCAGATGCTGAAGGCGTTCGCCATCGGACCCAGTGTTCCCTGTACCGCCATCTCCAGTTAGCCATCCTGCTATTGGGGATATCAATGTTTGGAGGAAGGCTTAGACACACTGCTAGCAGGGGGAACACAGTACTGGCAAACCACCATCGCGTCGGCAGAAGACAGGGCACCTCGACGAGGCCAGCGTTATGCATCTCCTTGCGACTCTTTTCCATGTTCACAGCTGTGCATCATCTGTATCTCAAAGGCTGGGCTCTAGGATAAGACCAAAATGCCTAACTCGCCGCGGAGGCCAAATTGAATATCTTTATGTGACGTTGTTGATTTAAACACAAGTCATGTGAAACAAAGCGGGTTCTTTTTTAAGCTTAACTTTGGTTATTGAGTTAAGTTAACTAGTTAACTACTCTGACCACAGCAAAGATTATTTTATGAACGTCATCAGATTTGACTACCGAGGTAGAGCGTGGCACGATTAGTCTCAGTAAAGGCCAGCGGCCGCTTAGAAAAACAACACTTTTGTCATAGTCACATTCCGTTCTTAATCACAGCTCTCAGGCCTTCGGGTCTGTTTATAACGGCTTCATATGCTCAAGAAGGACTAGCTACACAGCCCTCCAGTTAACTGCCGGATAGGACGTACTATGGTGCCATCATTCGTCTTATTCCTGCACATTCTCTCTCTACTTAAGATAACTAATACTCTGGGTGTTGATATACTTTGGCTAAGAGTAGTTTAGTTATATAGACGAAATCTTTTGTTACCCTTATTTACAGTATGAATTTAATAGACTTGTCGTCGTCTTCTCTTAACTAGTCTAATTCAATGACCGATTTCTGACTTATCTCGCTTATGAAAACAGTACATCCTGCAAAAATATACCTAGGACACTGAAACATGTATATTTCTAGTTGCCATAGCCCATGTCGCTTGATTCGATCCGCCCATACGCACTGAACCATCCTTTAGAGATTAAACATTCAAGAGGGTCCTCTCCCCCGGATGGAAAGCGCATTCCTAAAACCTTGTAGATGTTTGAAGGTAATCCTGACATCGATGGCAGAGTGCCGATAACCACAGGTTGCACATATCTGTAGTAACCCAGAAGGGCCAATGCCTGGGTACTAAATATTTATTAGTACGAGTTTTGCCACTGAGCTAAGAATGATTCTTACATGAAATCCCGACACCCGTAATACTTGTCATTAATAATGACAAAATGAAAAAATTGTAGATTATGGCGGAGTAGAATTTCGATCAAATGGGAAACAGTAATTGTACTGTTGAGGCGGATTTCGAAGGTGCAGAGCGAGCTATTTGAGGAGTATCTGTATTTGACGGGCTTGAATACCATCTTTCCAGGTACATAGCTACCTTGGGGATCATGCACCGCATCATAATCAACGTCCATGGCAAGTCGGGCACCGTCGTAACCAGCAACCGATCTGACAAAATCCATTTTGATGATCACATGGTTCTTTGCTAAGTTCTTCTCAAGTATAGTCATACCCTCGGTGGAGACCCTCAAAAACTCAACGTAGATATTGTTTATCTGTGCCTCCATGAACTGAACAGGAATGACGCCGGGACCGTGCACCGTGATGTTGTAACTGTTTATCTGGAATGGCGATGCCATGGCGGCGAAATGCGCAATTTGACTACAAAATCGGAGGAGTAGAATTGTAGGTATGCATAAAAGTCTCAGCACAAATAGATAATTTGGATTGATTTAGGATTGAAAGGAAAATGGTTAGATATTTATGCCAGAGCAAGAGCAAGAGCTGCCCTGGAATCAGCCCGGATGGTTTGCCGCCCGTCGATATTCCCATCCTCCCGCCACGGCAACTAAGAATAGATTCATATGAATCGTCTAATGAATGAATAGATATGAGCCAATAAACATGGAGATAACAATAGGTATGTACTCCGTACCCTAGGCGGTGCATCAGTAGAGTGCATAAGTTACCTTGCGCATCCAGCCAATGTATCAACATGGCGACTAGGATGGTTGAGACAGTGAGCTAGTTACTGGAGATAACTAGTAAATTAATCAAGGGGGTGCTCTTTGCGGCACAGCAACCTATAATTAGCCTTGAGGGGGTAAAGGGGGCGGGCGCGTAGCTTAGACTGAGACTTTTTACAACTGTGCTTCCTTCCTGAGAACCTTGGACGACCAGTTATCCGTTGCTCGCCTCCTTGCCAGCAAAAGAACGATGATATATTTAAGGGTTATTGAAGGTGGGCGCTAATTGTGACAGAAACGAGGGGTGAACAGATGACTAAGGGGGACCTTTTTTTCTTTTTTTTAATAAAAGAAAAAAACACCCTTGACGCCTGCTCACTCACTGATTTAACTAACCAGCTAACCACCAGCCCTTTTCCTAACGGCAACTCGACAGCGACACGGGCACTTTCAACTTGGAATTGAACCACAATCCTCTCCCTTCTGCCATTATTATTATCACAGCTGGTAACAACGGATACCCTTGATATCACTCAAGCACCAGTTATATCTCATCGTTCAAGATGGCCGCCGAACCGTCGCTTGATATGAGGATGGAGTTCCGGGGGCTTGACCCTCCTCCAGGCGTGCACATCCCGACCGGTGCAGAGCTTTTCAGCCTATGTACCGCAGAGCACCCGCGCCGCTTCTCGATGGGCATCCCCTATCCCGCGGAATCTCCTGTTCTCTGGATCAAGTACGGCCGTCCAGTTCTGTGGAACGAAGTCCCTGCCCAGACGATGGCGTATCACGAACTTCGACGGCTGGGGTCAGCCGTCAGGGTGCCTGCCATCTACTACGCTTGCACTGTTGAGTATAAAACGTACATTGTCATGGAGTACATTCCAGGCAAGACGGCAGCCAAGTCGCTGGAGGGCGTCTCGGATCCAGCAAAGAAGGAAGCCATCTTCCGCCTTATTGCACTTGGTCTCAGCGAACTGCACCGCATCCCCGTTCCACCACAGTCTCGTCCCTCTGCGATTGACGGGGACAGGATTCGACATCGTTTGTTCGATGAACAGGAAGCTCCAAGGCACTACCAGAGCGTTGACCAGCTTGAAGAGCATCTCAATCTAGTATGTGATACACCATGGCCGTCTTAAGGCTAGCTGCCATGTCGCTTGCTAATAATATACGCTCTATCGACCAGTTTCTAAAAATTACTAGACGTACTCAGAGGGTCCAAAAGCTGTCACAGGAACCCATGGTCTTTTGTTTCTCTGATCTCTGGCTCGGCAACTTTATGATCGACGATGGCGGTCGAGTGATTGTCATCGACTTTGCCGACTGTAGCTTTCTACCGTCCAGTTTCTCAAAGTTTGCCCTCCTACCCTCGCAGAATAACTACCCGTGCGACATAACCGGTTGGGTAAACGTCCCGTCAGTGGACGGCATCGATAATACGGAAGCTTTGTGTGCGATGGCTGGCCCAATGATCGTAGGGTCAAGCTCCTTCGAGTCCTGTGGGCTGAGAGTACCAGGCGCAGGATGGGCGCCGGAGCTAGACAATCCAACGAACTGATTAGTCGCTTTAGCCGTCAGCTAATCTATAGTGCTCAGTGACATATAGTGAAATGATGCATCCCTTTATTCACATGTCGTAGTTATATTGATCAATAAAGCACCCCGTTATAGTTATAGGTCATTCTAGTACTCCAGGCGGAAGAATAGCTTTTCCTTCTCGACGATATCTTCTTCGTTGCTGATCAGCTCTTCCATGTCCCAGACCAGGCTCACGTATCGACCACCAAGCCAGAGACGTTCCTCCGATGTCAGATAGGTGAGGGCATCGCCACTGAGCTCATGAGATTCGGTAAATACTGCGAGGTGACAGCGTTAGTGATGGAGGCTAATAAGCCAGGGTCTTAGCAAGCTTACCATGCTTGATCTCAGTCGGCATCTTGTCAAATATCCCACGGACCAGATCGGTAAAGACATTCCCAGGGTGAATGCTGATACAGGTGATGCACTGCTCAGCATACTCGGCATGCACCGACTCAGCCAGCCGAATCACAGCCAACTTGGCAATCTGGTAAGGACTGGCGCCGGGGAGGGTGAAGTGGGCAGCGACGCTGCTGACCAGAATGAGATATCGTGCATCTCCGCCCTTGGCAAGCAGCGGGAGAAACGATCGAGAGATGAGATAGGATCCGAAGAGGTTGACCTGGAAGATCTCCCACCACTCAGTTGGATCCGTGTCTGCAATCTTTCCAGGTAAGCTCGCAACTCCGGCATAGTTGATAACCACATCGCAAAATCCGAACTCTTCTTCTACCTTGGCCGCTGCCGCCTCTACACTCTTCTGCTCCCTCACATCAAGGTACAGGGGCAGGAACTCCGGCTCACTTCGGCCGGCAGAGAGAGCAGCGGCCTTGATGTCTAGGCCAACCTGGGTCAGGTCAGATCGAGCGCCGACAGCGATATAGGATGCTCCAGCTTTGGCAAACGATAGTGCTGCGGCTCGACCAAGGCCCCTGGAGCCACCAGCAATGAAAATTACTTTGCCTCGGAAGTCTCGTTTGGTAGGGTCGATGGCTGGATATGTGTCGCTGTGTACCTCAACCGTAACGTTATAGTCCCCTAAGACGCGTTAGATTATGAGCAAAGTAGAAAGCTATTGCTTTAAAGCTACTATAATATACAGCACAGGGAGATAGAAGCTTACCAGGTCCCTCGACGGGATTCTCAACATCCACTGGCGGTGGCATACTGATATATCTTTCTGCAGGTCTTATTAGGTATCGTATTGTTCGGTTGTTGGAGTTATATATATAGCGCAAACGGGCAGCAACGGTTTATCCAAGGTGTTAGAGATATCATTTTTTGGGGGCAGTGAAGTGGGAGCGCAGTCTATTTATGTTATTTGATATTCGGCATTTGTTCTAGGGATTCAATGAAGGCGTATGTTGTTTGCGGAATGGTGAATTCCTTTGAGCCGGGAGAGCAAACCACCAGGCTGTAATGCTTTACCTGTTTGTTCACAAGGCCACCTCTGCATTGCCTATACGCCCCTTTGTTGGTATAATGAAATATAATAAAGACTGTTTCTTTGTCTTTGTTATAGAACGGTTGATATTAGAGGCACACAGTGGACTTCTCATCACGCCGAGGCTAGGCAGAAGGCGCATACAGCTCAGTGTCAAGTGGCCTGTAGGGCACTTTGGTAGGTAGCAATAAGCTAGGTTTATTTATCATTGGCTATCTAAAGGTTGTCAATATCCAAAAGAATACTCAAGAAGAATGGATTGGGTTCTGTATTTCATATAACGAGTGATCTGGATAAAAGCTGTACAAAAGGTAGCTCTATACAAAAAAGACACAAAGAGGTCCTATCACAGAAATATCTGGGTGAAAACATGACATGGAAACGAGCGAAAAAAAAACAAACATAGAATGTATATACAATAGGAAAACAAAGTGAAAAAATTGATGTCATTGGGATATGTACTCGTACCTACGTATCGTAGGGCTGGAGGCTGAAAAGCCCCCCACATTCGTCACCACGCCACCGCAAAAGGGGCCTTTGAAAATCGAGAGGGCGAGTATCAGTATCCGGTGTAGGATCCAGAGTATGATTTCCGCATAACACGGGAGCTCCCGGCACGCAGAGCGCTCTTCACGGTCGAGGTAAAGCCGCCATTGGCCCAAGCCTGACTGGCATCCCACATCATCGCTCCACCGAAACTTGGGAATTGCTTGCTCCAGTTCATAATGTTGGCGAGCGTGTTTGCGTCGACATAACCAGAGCCGGCTGCCCCCCTGTTTGCAGGAGCGCCAATCATGATTTTGACATTGGGGTTTGCAGAGACAGTCTTCGCAAAGTTGTCCCAATCCGCAAAGTTGAAATTGTTCTGTGCCTGGACGCCGGGTGTAAAGCTGGTAAGACCACAATAGTTGTTGTAGAACTGAATAAATAGGGCATCAAACTTCACACCGCCTTCCAACATCTCCCTGTTGTTTAGGTCTGGGTAGGGACACTGAGGAGCAGCAGTCAGATAATACGACTTGGACTTGTCGGCATCATACAGGGCGCGTAGCTGTTTCGCAAACGGAACCATGTTCGACACGGTTGCTTCAAAGTCGAGATCGAATCCATCGATAACGGCGTCATCAAAGGGGCGGAGGGCGGAGGAGTTCGGCTTAGCCGGCCCAAAGATATCCCACAGCATATTGGCACCAGCCACGGCATCTTCGGCAGACCTGAAGCCGCCTTCGCTGTAGGTTGCTCCACCGATGGATAGGAGGATGGTCTTTCCTTTCGCCTGGCACCTTTTGATATCCGCTCTAATTGACCGATCAGCACGGGTTGTCATACTATGTATACTCATACATGTCCACTGAAAAATAAGCAAGGGAGATTTACCCAATCTGCGGACAGTGGAGAAGGTCGGTGCCTGGGAATGGCTTGCAGGGATCACCCTGGTTCGCGAAGTTGATCTGAGGGACTCCACCTGGGCCCTCGATGGATACGAGAAAGGCGAGCGGGGATTACCTTTTAGCTAGTTAGCAAAGAGGGTACTTCATCTATTATATCCAATACATACATCAACATTCGTATCTTTGGACAAGTTAGTAAATGTTCAAATTAAACACATCTATAAGAATTGGAGAGTGGGAAAGGGTCTTACTGTCGCAGTAATAGCTCAATGGCTGCTGGGCTAGCGTTCCGCTTCCTTGGTTAAACGAATTCTGGCCTAACCCGGGCAGTTGAATTAGTATTTCTTTGCCTGGAATAAGAGGCAGAAGAAGCAGGCCTTCGCCAACAGAAAGACACGAACCCCAGTAGATAGCAACGTTGTTATAGCTCGAAGGATCAAAGCCAGCATAGGCTGTCCTGGCGCCGGCAAGCAGCGCGACTAAGGAAAGAATATTCTTCACAGAAGACATTGTGCAAGGAGTGGTCATAAAGTAAACCTAGCCAGTAGGGATTGTGATAGCTCTTTCAAGGAATGTGAAGACTCTGTAGGTCAAAAAGCTGTGATATTTTTGCTGTAAAGAGGAGAGAAGACCATGCTTTTATATTTTCGAAATAGAGACATCACCACTACCGAAAGCACGAGGCCATGTGCCCATGAATTTTCCTCCAAGTTGGATGCAAACGGTTAACCGTGCCATAGAAATGACCCCCAAGGATGATATCAATTTCGGTTGAGGTCATGAAAACCAGAGCAACTCTATTGGCGATAGGATGACGTGGACAGATGAAAGTCGGTCTTTGAGGTGAGCAAGGAGAGGAACGAATTAACAGACGATATAGACCATTTCACTGACCGTCAAACGGCCGGGTGGTTGGGTGGACTGTCACATTTTCGGGCATATCTGTGGAGACGGAGAACATCCTTGAGACGGGAGAGCAGAGAAGAGACTACGTGGATAGTAGGCCCGATGATTGCTTCGATATCCATTCCTTCTACCGTCCAAGGAGTGAACAGGCCAAGGTCATCCCGGGGGAGTTATACACCCTCCCCAGCGAGGTGTATGCCTTGGAAAAAAAGAAGACGGGAGGCATCGCCGCCAATCGTCCATCATGAACAGGGCCAAGATGCAGACGGGCCAACGGATGACCCTTATTTACAACCATAGAGGCAGGTTTCGGTAGCGGGTATAGGCCTCAAAGAGGACAGTTGGTATAGCGTGTGCGGGAGTAACATGATAACGTGTCAGCCTTCGATATACCATGAATGGACTGAATATGCGTGGTGGACTCTGCCACACTGCCTTTGAGGCCAGAGGGACATCCGCCTTCAAACGGTGTAACCACGAAGTGTCAGATGCGCACTCGACAGCGGGTTACATAGTAGAATATCCAGCCGCCTCTTGATGGCTTTGGGTTGAACTCCCTGGTAGTTATGCGGCGCTGCGGGATCCCGGTGCGGAGGCGGGCAGCCGGAATCCCACCCTACACCGACCCCAGAATCTCATGTTCCATCAACCATCGTCCGGGAGTTCGTATTTATTCTCCTTCCCCTTGCTTATCTTGATCTTTCTCTTATCTTGATCTTCTTACTTTGTCGGCTTTGATATTCAATTCGTTTGTTTTTTTTTGTCTTTTTCTTTTTTCGTCTTTTGACCAAGTCATGTGCTGCTGACTAAGAGCTCACGTGCTCACACCTTCTTCTGACTTTGGTTTTTTTCCCCACGAGATGAAGATGGAGACGATGGAGACGATGGAGAAGATGGAGAAGATGGAGATGGAGAGCTTCTATGTCTATTTCAGAGTTACAACAGTTACCGTGTCATAGGGCATCAACGGGCTAAGCCCAGAAAGAGAAAAAAGACGGCTGGAGATACAGAGCCAGGGTCAAACAACCTATCACTGAGCGAGAATGCTGCGGCCACCGTCTGCCGTGACCCGTTTGCGCACTTTCATTTTGAAATAAGACGAGCCAAGTTCCGTCATAACCGATTCAGTGCTTCGACGAGCGCATGGGTCTTCGTTATCTGCGTGGTTCACGTCCAAGATTGCGCTGGGGCAGAATACCAAGGCTTCACCTGTCTTGAGGCCAACAATCCGGGAGAAGAGGCTGTCGGTGCTGTACTTGGAGCGGTGAGAAGCGGTGACGTCCATCACGGCGCCTGCTAAGTGTCCCTCCAAAGCCTGGAACCAGGCAGGAGAGCTGAATCTATGCACAACAGTGAGATTGCACAGGTCCAGCAGGTTCGGGGACAATGTCGGCTCCTGGGTCGCGATGATAACCCTTGTAGCAAGATGGCGCTGCTGGCGGATCAGGGACAACATGGTTTCCGTCAAGCTTACTGCCTCGCGGCTTTTGGTTGTCAGGTACTGCCCATCCTTTTGTCAGCGCGTTCCCAGGTTTTGTCCTGGCAGGGTGCCAAGTTGAAGTTCTACATACCTTGTGGGCCTCATCGAGCGCGATGATGCGGCCTCCTCTGCCGCGACCCTCGAGGAACACGCCTATGCAGATGTTGAATAACGCGCAGGCGTCGTTCTCATCCACGAACGGACAACTCAAGTCGATGATGGTGAGGCTGCCTTTTTCAAAGTTCCATACATCATCTCCTTCCTTTGCGGCAGACCTGGCAACTTTGGGTTTCCGGATCTCGCGGACTGCTAAGAAAGACCGGAGCAGGTCGAGACGCATGTTCAACGGAGCAGATTGACCTTTCAACGTTGTCTTCTCCTTGATTCTAACCTCAAAATCCTGGAAATCAATTCCTCTTCGGCCCGCTGACTCCTTGGCCATGTCTCTAAGCACTTTGGTCACCATCTGGGGTAGGTTAGCGGGTGCCGGTTCGGTTTGTTGCTAATCATAAAACTTACCTCCATGTACAATGGTGTGCCCTCCCCGTCGCCAATTGCCATCAACGACTTCATCATCCCAATGCTGAGGTGGTCTTCTTTGAACAACAGTGGCTCCACCTTTGGTTTGGGGCAGTCGTCTGGCAGTCCGGGCAGGTTTGTGTACAACTGGCTCATGTGTTCGAGGTTGCTGGGTGAAACTAGCACTCTGACCGGGATACCCGCGGAACATAGATATGCTGCCTCGCAAAGCTGGCCGGTTTCCATCCCTGTAAATTTGTCATAATGAAGCACCAATCCCGTGAGCTGGGACGATACCTTGCCCGTCTTCGATGGCACCAGCAGCGAGTTCTCCAGCATACATGCAAGTGTATGGCTTTTACCACTGCCCTGGCTACCGCAGATGAAGGTTGACCACGGGGCATTAATATTGGTGTAGATCAAGTTCTGGCTTACTTCGCCTACATGGAAACTCTCTCCTTCGTTTCCGGGCGTATAGCTGGCAAGCCGTAGCCCAATCAAGCCGTACTGGGGGAACAGTGATTCCGTTCGCGCGCCTGGGAGGATTGGATAGGCTCCAACGCTCAATGCAGTGCCCTTAACCTTAGAGGAAAACAGGGGCGTGGTCTTCATTTGCTCAACCAGAGGGCTGGCCGATGCCTTGTCCTTAGGTTGGCTAGGCTCGACCAGCTTGAGGTGGCCTTCCACTTCGCCATGGCCAGGCGTATCATTAAGGTGTGACGGCATGGCTTCTGCCGGGACTTCTGTCTGGATTTCTGCTTGAGCTTCTCCTGTGGCTCCTGCTTTAGCTTCCATCCTGGCTTCTGATAGATGTTTAGCCAAGATCTTAAGGGAAAAGATAATTCTAGGGCTGGGTTGATTTCTCCACTTACCTCGCAGCTGGATAGCGTTTTTCATCATTCTCCTGCGAAACTATTTGAAGCTTCTAGTCAGCATTATTTATCTCCTTACAGGGCCTTTGTTTTAAGGGTGAGCTGACCATCTTGTTCCCAACTTCCCTTTCCTGCAGCTATACCAACAATCAATCCACTTGACGTTAATGATAAAAGGTGAAATGGAAAACTTAGAATAAAATTATTTGTACTTAGAAGTTTTCAAAATATCAAATTTTACTGTGGGAGCTAAAAGAGAGAAAATTTCTGCTTTGCTTTGCGTCGACGCAATTTGTTGTGTTTCTATGTAGAGTCCATTCAAAGTAACAAAGCAGAACAGCCGAGACCTACACAAGTGTGCATATGAATGGATATAGGGACAGAAAATGCTGTATTAACAAGGCTGTTTATACCTGTTATACCCTCCAATGGCCGTAAACAAACATCCTTATCACCTAAAAGCAAAACACCAAACACCGAGCACTTATCAAAAGAAGCCCATCATTTACAAGACAATGAGAGAGAGAAGAAAAACAGCCACAGAGGATCAAAAATACTTACACAAGAATATACAGACGAAGGGTAAGTTAAAAAAGAATGGAAGAGGGCTAGGCGATGTTGGTGATAACCGCTGTAGAGCCCCAGGAATGCAAATCATATGGGCAACGTGGATAAACAGAATAGAACAGAGACCCAGGCCAGCTGTTTAGCTGCGAGTGTATATTGAAGGGATAGCAGGCATCGGAGGCATCGGAGGCATGGCAGGAACCTGGGGCATCCTGCCGCCACGTCTTGCAGAGTTGGAACGGCCCACAGGGTCGCCAAGCTGAAAATCAGGGTTACTGACTAGCAGTGCTTCCCGTTGCTTCTGGACCTTTTCTCGTGGATTGTCCCACTCGGGCGGATGCCACTTGGGGTTGATACCACGCTGAGAGACAGAAGTGAAGTGGCTGATGTCACTGACAGGCGAGCGCGGGCCATTGGCGGCATCAACAGAAGTGTTCGGCTCTGTTGGCTCGGGAGCAGTGCCGCCGGGGGTTAGGGCAGATGGAATGAAGGCTGGATCAGGGTTTGATGTGCTGATAAAGTGTGTTGCTACGTCTTCGTAGTATGTGTTTGTAGGGTGAGCGTCCCGAGGAGGAGATCGGGTCATGTCTCTAGGCTGTGTGTTTGTATCGCCGGGTGGACTCGGTGAGTCGCGAGCGTCAATAGGTAAGACTGGTTGATCATTTTTGGTCCAGTCATTTCTTGTCGGTATGAATGCGCTGATAGAGCGAAAAGTCAGCAAAAAAAAAAAAGAGGGACGTTGTACGCTTGATCGGTCGAAAAAGGTGGTTTGGTTTTCCCCTTTATACATACGGAAGATTGGAGATCCCCGGCTGTGTCATGGTCGAATTATAAGCATTCCCTGGCGAGCGTTCCATTTCAATATCCTGGCCCATACCGCCAGCGGCCTGGGGAACACCTCCATACATGGCATCGTCGTCTCTGCGCGGACGGCGCGGAGGGCCCGGTCCCGGTCCGCCACGCCTACCACGGCCAGATCGGGGTCTGTTTGGGTAAGGGCCGCGCTCACAAGGACCGGGATAATCTCGTCTCCGCGAAGGACTCCTTTCGGTGTGGTAGCTGGGAGGAGGAGGGTCGCGGTAAGGAGGCCCTCTCCCGCCTCTGCCACCTCTCCTGTTTGAAGGGTTGCTTCTACCCCGGCCAGCGTATCCAGGGATATTATTACCACGCATGGGGCTTCTCGAAGGCCCCCTCCGAGGCGGGGGGAAATGGTCGTAGGGGCCATCCTGGTTTGCGGGAGCCTGGGGCCCTTCATCATACTCGCTGGGCGCCCAGAACTGTTCATTGCTAGTTGGCGCAGCGCGGGAGCGCATCCGTCTGCTGTCGTCGTCTCGAGGTCGACGGTCGGACTCGTACCGGGCGAATGAGGACACAGTCTCTGTAGTAGGAATGGGGGTGAAGATGACCTCCTTGGCCTCTACATGCAAGGTTGTTGCAGGCGGGTCCAGCTTGACGGCGTTCTGGCGATTGTAAAAGTTCTCGCCGCTCATCTCAGCGTTCTCGGCGATGCGACGCTTCCTGGCCTTGCGGCTCACCAGGGTCCGGCGCATGGCGCAAGTGAGGATGCCGCAGACGGTGAGGATGACGGTGGCGGCGAGAACGACCCAGCCGCCCCATTTGAGATGGGGGACGAAGAGGAGAATGTCGACAAGGAAGGCCAGCAGCGAGACCAGCAGCGTGGGGAGGAGCAGGATGAGCAGGCCGAGCAGGTACCGCGGCGAGTGAGAGGGAGCATGGAGGTGGGCAGCGGCAGCCAGGCCAAAACAGACAAGCGTAAGGAACGCGGCGATAGGGTGGACAATCAAGAGAGACGACAGCGTATGGCGAATCGACGCCGGGAGATTGAAGTCACCGTCAGTACTGGGGTCTCCGAAAGCGCCATCTCTCGCATCTTGCATGTTCTCGTTAGTTTTACTGCTTCAAATTGGGGTAAAAGGGCACCGTGAACATACCGTCCTTGTATCCGATGGTGAAGCCGCTGCATCTATCCTTACGACACCAGCCAAAGACGCCAAAGGTGATATCGTTGTATGTGGCCAGCGGGATGCCCTTGATCACCGGGGTAGAGAGGACGGAGAGCAGCAGCAGCGCAAAGGCGGCGAACAATAGAACAGACAGCGGCGTCGCTGGTTTCAGCAACATGTTCGCAGGCCAGAAGATGAAAGCATCGCAGTGTCAGGTGTCGATGAAAAGCCGTTTGTTTTATTTATACGTGTGGGAGTCGTATGGTTATTCGTGTATATCGTGGATAGTTGGAAAAAGAGGAGACCTGCCAGGGCCGTCAAGGCTGAAATGAACGAAAAGAAAACTCCCAAGGCTATCTAGGACGACTTAAGCCGACTGGGGCATCGATATCAACGGATCATAGAGAGAAGAAGAAGGGGAAGAAGACGGCCGTGAGAAACGAGAGAATGAAAATAGGGGAGAGTAGCTGGTCCAGGGACCCCCCTTGAACCCGGTCGGCAAAGCCCTTTAGCGAGACATGGGAAACGAAGTGGAGGATGGCTCGAAGAAGCCCTGGAGCTGTGCCAAAATATATTAATTAACTTGTTGCAGACGCAGAATCAGAAAAGTCGACGAAGCAAGCAAGCAGAAAATGAAGCAAAAAGATGATGAGACGTTGGAGGAGCACTTTTTAACGGGGCTACAGTGGAGTGCGTGATGACTAAACAGAGATTGAGTATGGGGACCTCGCTATATCCAGGACAAAGGTTGAAACAGGCTAGCTTACTAAGACATAAGATGAGACGAAGAGAGAGAAAAAGGGGGAAGAAGAGAAGAAAAAAGACAGGAAGGACGGCGTTGATGATTAATATACATGAAGGGATCATGCGCCAGCTCTGCTACCCGGAGATAAGGACCCAAAGAAGGAAGAATATCTGTCGAGAGTTGGCGTTAGTATACGATATATAACATGGATTATGCCTTTTGATATTATGAAGACTGACCATGAGGACGCCAAACATTTTGGCAATGAGCCAGCGGTTGCCAGAGACACGCGACCAGTACTTCATGAGCTCACGCTGGGCGCCCTGGACGTTGTCGACGACGTCTTCGGTGTTGGCGTCGATGCGCTGGATCATCTCGGACTGCTCGCTGACCATGGTGGCCAGCTGGCCGAAGATGCCGCCAAGTTCATTGATGGTACGCTCGATGGCCTCGATGGCCTCGCCGCGCGCGTGGATGTAGGTGTTGGCCGGCTGGGCCTCCTCCATCATCAGTAGTTGCTGGTCAGAGTGCATGCCGCCGCCTCCTCCTCCGGCGGGCGTCCCCGACGAGGACGGATCCAGGGTGAGCAGGTCCGCTGAGCCTGGGCGGTAGCCTGGCTGCGGACTCCTGCTGCGAGCCTGGTTGTAGAGCGGGGAGTCGGAGCGCTGGGGGTCGAGCGCGTGCGATCTTGATGAAACGGTGGAGACGAAGTTCTCCGTTCTCGATCGAGAGGCCTGGATATTCTTCGTCCGCACCTCCAGCACGTCCTTGAAGTTGGCTCCCACATCCGCCAGCCTCCCCTGCAGCAGTACGACCACCTGGAGCAAGAAATGCGTTAGAAACAAGGAGCCCAAGTGTTAGATAGCCGTTACAGGACGTAATTAGAAAGTCAAAGTGTCAGAGAAAAAAAAAGGACAATGTAAGTTAGAGAGGTAACATACGTTGTCATTGTGCTCTCCTTCCTGGTCTGCCTTGCTCCGTGTCGACTTGGGGTGCTGTGAGAGTGTGAGGGACTGGAGGGAGGCGATCTGGGAGTTTAGTGAGGAGAGATCTTGCTTGATCACATAGGTCAGTTCTGATATCTCAACAGGTCTGTCGTCGAATAGCGATTTTCTCTTGGCCACTATTATCATGGTTTAGTTATCTTCTGCTAAATACTGCAGTGTAATAGGGGGACATACGCTGTGCCAGCCGCTGGAGTTTCCCCGTCGTCGATGCGATCCCACGCCCGATCTCTGCAGCCCGTCTGGCAAACTCAGAGCGCGCCGGCCGGCTGCTCGGGGCTGGCACGTCTGCAGAGGTCGTCCTGGTCGTCGAGTTGGCCTGTAGGCTCTGGCGGCCACTGGCCTTGGATGAGGCGAGTCTCTTCTGCGCCTGGCTCAGGATCGAGCGGAACTCGGCGGTGCGGTCCTGGATGGGCGCCGGAGTTGCCATCATTCTGACTTGATCAACGTATCTCGTCTTTGTATCTCTCTCTATCTCTCTGTATCTTCTCTCGAGTGACTCCGTGGTCTATGTATATGTTGATGGCTGAGATGTTGGATGCTCGCTGGACGCTGACATGGGTATGCCTGGGTTTCTTTCTTGTTGGATGTCTTGTTGGATGTCTTCCCTCTGCCGTGTCTCTATCTTCTCTTCCTCTATACCTTCTTCTTCGTCTCTTCGTCTGCGTCTGCGTCTTCCTGTCTTCCTGTCTTCGTCTTGTATTCTTCTTGTCATCTTCCGTCGTCATCGCCTCACGTGACTATCTAGTTTATCCTTCGAAATTTCCCCTGAAGTTCGCTTCTTCGTCTTCATCTTCATCTCTACAAAACATCTTCTTTTCGTACACTGCTTCTCCCTCGCTGCTGGGGATGAGATCGAGTGGTTGGCCCTACTGGTGAACTGGTGTCTACTGCGCCAGGTGTCGGTCGCATCGTATAGCAGCCAGGGGAGGCTCCTATCTAGAACTATAGCATCTCGCATATAATATACACCCAACATGTCTGGCTACCAGCCGACCTACGTTCCTGGTGATGGGTAAGTCGTTCAGTACTTCTGGATAAACAGTTTCATGGCTGACAAATTCGGTTTCTTTCCTTTAGATCGCCCTCTGGGGGCCAGAACCCGGAATCTCCTTGGTCGACGGCGCAAACTCTCGACCTGAAGACTAATGTCAACCGCCAGAAGACCAAGCGGTGGGTGAATGCAAAGAAATACTCCTATGCCGGCGATGATTGGGGTGACAGCGAGGACGACGAGGAAGAAGATCAGCCCAGTACGACGACTGCTGCGGATGCTCAGTCGCCTAACATCCTCAGACCCGCTGATATATACAAACGGCTGGCAGAAGAACGAGAGAAAGACCAGTCAGGGAGCCCTGCAGAGGCAGCCGGCGCGCCGTCTGGTTCGATTATTGCCGCTCAGAAGACTGCTCAACTGCCAGAAGCATCGCGCCCTCCGGCCGGCCCCGAGAGCAGTGCTGCATCGACACAGATGCCAAATGCTCACCCAGAACCTCCCATAGGCCAGCTACCCGAGTTGCGGCGGCTCTCTGGGTTCGATGGGTTCATGGGGAGTGGTGATGAGTTGGGGACAACAACTGCAGATGTACAGCCTCGAGAGCCCCTCACAGATCGGGTTCCTACTATCAGAGAGGAACACGTAGGAGATAATGAGCCGTCCTCTACTTCAGCTCATAATGCCACTCCAACTCTCTCCCTTTCCTCTCCAGAGCCAACAGACCAAACGACAGTCACGCCTACTGAACATGGCCAGGGTGATCACACCCCTTCTGATCACCGCAAATCAACAGCACTTGACAGCCCAGATACCGTAGATGCAACAGGCCTGGGCGACACTGAGCCTCACGCGCCGTCCCTCCGAGAACGTAGCACCATCTCGGAAGATGATTCAGAGGGACACGCCGCAGCGCTGGACGTCTCACCCCTTAGCATGAGCAAACGAAGCTCGATAGACCCGAGCACTGTTCCTAGCACTATGGCAGACCCAACAGATGCAGCCCTACCCAGAGAGCACGACGGCTTCCAGCAGAACGAGAAAGCTGACCTTGCTCCCGCTGTTACTTCCCCGGAGGCAAAGCAATATCCCTCCACACAGTTACAGGACAACCCATCTCCTCTGGGCATGGAGCCTCCTCGTACCACCATTACCATCCCTCATTATAATCCCCAGCCCAGCTCCTATGAGCAACAACAGCCTGAAAGACAACTGAAAAAGAAGTTCTCCTGGGAAGCTGACTCTGAGGAGAGCGACAGAGACCAAGCTCTGTCTCCGCTATCGCCTGTTTCAGCTACCCTAACTCCAGGGGCGTTGGTCATAAATAAACAACCTACAGGCACTGAAAATGAGCCCTCCAGCCTTAGTGCACAGTTTCCCCAGCCCCCCTCTGCAGAACCCCCACAGAACACTGCCGTGGCGGAGACGCAGAGGGAAACAGACTTAGCGAAGAGCCAAAGCCCTCCTCACTCTGTTGCATTCCAAGGTCAGCCATCCGTTCCACCACCGGACGCTGATAGGAGTAACTCGCCTGTCTCAAACCAAAAAGCCCCGGAGTTCCGTGAAATAACAAGCATCCCTCAGCCTACCCAGCGGATAGCGGCCTTCAATAACGCCAGGAACGTCTATGCAGACACAGACACAGGCCTGGATCGATGGATCAAGCATGTAGTGGATACCGGCCACCCCGATAATGCAGAGACTATCCAACGAAATGGCGTAGCCCCGGCAGACTCCAACGCCGCTCATAGGCCTGTTCCATCCCAGGCAAAGTTTCCCAAGTTGTCGTCTCTCGGTAATATATCCTTACCAACTAGGCACCATGACGGGTCTGGCCCTACTCATGGCCACGTTCGCCAGAGTTCGGGCGTCCCCCTAAGCGGAATGATGAATACCCAGCATGTCCAGGCAAAGGGAAAAGACCTCCTTCACTCTGCAGGTGTCTTGGGCGGTAAGGCTGGCGACGCAGCAAAGGGCCTCTTCGCCAAAGGCAGGAGCAAATTCCGATATAGCGGAAGTGCCGACAAGGTAGATACCTAGTCTCTTTTTCTCTATTCTGAAATGGCTCCTTTTTTTCAAATGACTATCTGGCATATCTCCATAACCCTGTTGGCCGTTCTATATTCCCCTTTCTCTACTTTCTTATATGTCTTCCTCGGTTTTATTTGGCTGGTCATATCAAATTGGTCATTGGTTAAGAACGAACCGATTGATGACTTTGGGCTTCTCGCAAAGGGGATTTGATTCACCTCTTTTTTTGTATCGTTCATATCTTATGAGGCCACATAGCGAGTCTAATATACGGCTATTTTGTAGGGTCAAATTCTTCCTCCTACTTCTCCTCCTTTGCCACATAATATTGTGCAAACGGAGTTTGAAAGTCCCCGGCCTAGTATTGGTAGTCAATATCAACGAAATCAGCACCAGCACCAGCACTATCAATATCAACATCAGCAACAACCACAACCACAACCACAACATCAATATCAGCAACAGCAACAGCAACAGCAGCAACAACCTTCATTGACAATTCCGGAGACTATACCCCGTGTGAAGTCTCTAAAATTCGATAGCCAGCCATTTTCTGTCTCCTTCATGGGCGAGATGGCCCATATCATGTCTAATTCTAACAACGATGAAAAAAAGCCACGGGACTCAAAACGGTACAGTGGCCGCGGTTTGGCTCTGATTACAGAGGAGCATGCCAATCCTTCTGTCTCCGAGTCTCCGGGGCAAGGTGATATCTCTAATGGCCAGATGACACCTGTGGCTGACGAGCTAACACAAAGTCCGGCTATACCAGAGATACACCTTCCGACGTCTACAGTGGATATTGAGACTGTATCTGTTGGTAAGGGATCAATTGCTGTTTCAGCCCTCGCAGACGAAAAGGATATCGAAAGGGGTCGTCATTCGTTTACGGTATCTGAAGTTGATATGAAACCAACCCGAGAGCCGTCTATCATCTCATCTGCAGACACGCTCGATAATTCCAAGCAGATTGAAGTAGGGAATGTCATAAATAATGGTGGTCGAGACCAAGTGCGGCTGGCCGATGCTTCACAGACTCAGATGATACTTTCCCGCCGGTTCTCATTTGAACTAGAACCAGAGACCAGCCAACTTACCGGAAGTCCCTTACCCGCAGGACACCAAGATCCCTCCATTTATCAAGCCACCAATGGGCACGCTACGCAATACAGCTTCCCTCCTCCTAGGATGAGCAATTCGTCTCCTACTATAAATGAACCAAGCCAACAGCCTAGTCACCCAACCCACCCAGCCCACTCGCGCACCTGGACTCAAACCGACCAGCGCAGTGTGTCTCCATTACCTGTTGTTCATAAACACACAGACACAAATGGCTCCGGTTTATCTTTCCGGGTCTCGAGTGCGGCGCATGAGCAGCCAGCTGGCCAGCAAGCTAACGGGAATGCTACCAACTACTACTATTCCCAAGCGGGTGCGGGATGCCCCGATCCTGGTGTCTACCAGCCACCTCTGGAGGAGCAGAAAAAGCGACGTGCCAGCCTTGGGCTCACGGGGATCATGTCGAAGGTCAATATGGTCCGTAACAAGGGGGAACAGGCCGAGCGACCTTCATCTCCTGTATTGAAGAAGGGTGGCAAGATGTTCAAGACGCTGAAATTTGATCTTCTCCATGGAAAGAACAAAAGCCACCGCCATGCAAGTTCGGATTCAGCAGATCCAGGAGAGACAGCGCCGGCCGCGTCATATAATACCAGACAGTACCATTCGGTGGGAAGCCGAGTTGTCATGCAGAGGAACACACCAAGTGCTCTTTCAAATCATAACACGGTGAATAGCTCAACGCATTATTTGAATACAGGAGTATACGATGGGCCATCTCCTCCCCCAGTGGATACGCCTTTCTCCCCTGATAGGATACTGTCCCCTGATAGGGCCTTCTCGCCTGATGGGGCGATTTCGCCCAGCAGGACACAGTCTCCTTCCCCAAGCGCAAACGGGAGTCGGTGGAACTCCAACCCATCCTCACCAGAAGACTTCTCTGGTCAGACTACAGGCAGCCGGTCGGGTAGATTTTATACGTCCATCAATTCTTTTCTCCCACGCCTTCCTGAGCCTTCGGACACGCCCCAGATAAGCAGACAGCCTTCACCATCGAAGGAACCCTCATCTAGTCTCAGAGATGGAATTCCAGGCGCCTCCTCTGGCCCTTCCAGTGCGACTATACCATCAGGAGCGAGCTTTGTCTCAAATAATAACTTCAATTCGACGCCACCACCCCTACCTCATAGCATCAATTCTCCCACTAGCTCCGAGCAGACGTCCAAGTCCCCAGCACACTCGCCACATATCAAAGACCTACACTTTCGTTCTCGCAGCCCTCTCTCCAGACCCCCAGATAACACCGACAGCTCTTCACTTTTCTCTGATACACACGACCCTGCACAGAGGCTAGGGACATTCCATTCGTCCGTTCCGCACACGCCGCGTGTAGGTGACCAAGAGACACCATGGACCATCACGCTGCCCCAGGATGAACAGGAGCCTCCGGCGCCCGGTACAGCGCATCATCCGGCATGTACTTCTCCGGGCCTACGCCGAGTCAGCTGTGGCGTAGCTGGCGTATCGCTGACAACATCACCACCAAAAGGATCTCTGAATGGCTCGTACTCATATTTCGAAACACGTCCAACCCTAGCCAGCCATTCTATTGTCGGTCCATCTGGCGAGCCGTCGAACGGCGCCCATCACCCCACACAAACCCGCCTTGTCCATGTAGCTTCAATGGAACCCGTCGAGCTTCCAGCGAACGATGACTCCAGTGAAGAAATAGTGATGTCTAGCACCTCCTATCCCGGCCAGGAATGGCAGCCTGCCTACCTAGGCCAGTGGGATTAGTTCCCTTTTCCTTTTCTTTTCTTGTTCTCCGGACCTGGTACATAACAACGGCCTTATTTCTCCTATGTCAATACTTCAACCCCTTCTTTGCTTGACCTATACACTTCTACAGCTGTTTATTTAATATTACTCTAATGCTTTCAATCCAAGATACCCCTAATATTTTGGGAGCGGTGTTACACAACTATCTTATACTTCACAGCCTGTTCTCCCCTACATATTGAATATAATACTTTGTGCAATATATATATATATGTACTTGTCCTGCCCGTTGGCCCAGAAGAACGCCCCCCGTCAACATGTTATACTCGGTTAACATAGATGTAGATAGAAGTTCGTCAGCTTCAAGCTGTCAAAAGACCAGGATCATAAATATCAAATACGAGGCAACCAGCCCACTTAGTATATACATAGTAGGTTTTTATCAATGGCGGTGACAATTAATCCTGCTGCCTAGTTTGTGTGTGTATATATATATATATATACATGTATGAATATCATTCCTATATGTCCTACGTTTTATTACTACCATGGAGAACAACCCCAAGAGAACGTTTAAAGTTGACAGTCACCTTGCTCACTTCGACATACCTATTCGTGACTTCTTTGCTTTGAAACCTGGCCATAATGCTTTTATCATCGGCGCATTCATATTTTCCTCGGGGAAAACCGCGACTATGACTGGCGGTGACGAGACCAAGGAGTTTCCACGCGCCATGCTGCTTCAGAGAGCCATGTCTGACTCCCTAGGCGGTCTATGGGAAGGCCCAGGTGGTTCCTGCGACGACACGGACGCAACGGTGTTTGACAGTGTGGTGCGAGAAGTCTACGAAGAGACCGGCCTGCATGTCTCTCGCATACGAGAGCTCGTTGCCATCGACGAGTGGGACACGGTCAAGGACGAGCAAAGGATCAGGGCCATCAAGTTCTCCTTCTGGGTCGAGGTCCACGAGGCAAACGACGTGCCGGGGAACGATCTCTTCGCCCCAGACTGGGAGCATCGAATCAACCTGAATCCAAACGAACATGAGCAGTATCTATGGGTGACGATGGCAGACGTCCACAGCTATCTCGGCGGCCAGCAGGAGGTCAAGTTCACCTTTCCATCTACCGGAAATAACTATCTCGCGGCCTTTGCTACAGTCTCTCCCCAGTCATAGGGATTATTCTAGACGTCTAGTTAATAAGATGCCAAACAATAGAATTGACAGACTTCCTCTTACCTCATGTCCACTTCTTCTTCTTCTTCTTCTTCTTCTTCTTCTCACCGTATCTAAATCTACTTCGTTGTGTTTGTTGTCTTTAAAGTAACAGAAAATACGAAAACATAAAAACGCGTCGCGCAAAAGTCGTCAATTAAATTGAAAAACGAACCTCGACAAACATCGTTGAATCACTAGAAAAGCAGCATTTGAGACTCAAGGCTGCGGTTCCCGCATCGATGACGGCCAGGAAACGAGGCCAGAGCACCGTTGAGCCTGGCTCCGGCGGCCAGGGCGAGGCCAGCACAGTCAGAGTCGTCCCTCTCCTATAGATACAGGATCTTTTGCTAACAATTTGCCCTGGACAGAGTAAACGACCACGTATATCCAATGTGCTCGAAGACATAGGCGATGGTGCCCCGGGCTCTGCCGATTCGTCATCAGAGGCAACGTCCAGCAGCAGTGATGGAGGAGAAGAAGAAGAGGAGGACGAGGAGGAGGCAGAGATCGGCCTTCGCTCGACCCAGGCCATCCACGAGAAGAACTCCAGGAGACAGGAGAACGTCGCAGCCGAACACGGGATCATAGAGCGTGTTGACTGCTACAATTTCATGTGCCATGAGCACTTCTCAGTCGAACTTGGGCCGCTCATCAACTTCATCGTGGGCAAAAACGGCAGCGGGAAGAGTGCCATCCTGACCGCGCTCACACTCTGTCTTGGGGGGAAAGCCTCTGCTACGAACCGCGGCCAGAGCCTGAAGAGTTTCGTCAAGGAAGGCAAGGAGTTAGTGTTCACATGTATGAGATTTATTATTATGCCATTTACTGAGGCTGGATAGGTCTGCAACCATCATCGTTCGTATAAAGAATCAAGGAGATGGCGCCTATCTCCCAGACATTTACGGCGACTCAGTCATCGTCGAACGTCACTTCTCTCGCTCTGGTTCGAGCGGCTTTCGGCTGAAGAGCAAATCTGGGGCTATCGTCTCTACGAGGAGAGCCGACCTTGACTCCATCACAGACTACTTTGCGCTGCAGATGGACAACCCGATGAATGTCCTCTCGCAGGACATGGCCCGGCAGTTCCTGAGCACTTCGAGCCCGGCTGAAAAGTACAAGTTCTTCATGAAAGGTGTACAGCTGGAACAGCTCGACGTCGACTACCACATGATGGAGCAATCTATCGATCAGCTTGAAGAAAAGCTCAAAGATCATATGGATCAGTTGAAGGTGCTAGAGACCAACAAGAACAATGCAAGGGCGCGGCTTGCGCAGTCCGACAGACATGAAAGTCTACGAGAACGGATTCGACATCTGCGAGGGCAGACAGCTTGGATACAAGTCGAGGAACAAGAACGAGTTAGTCATGGTCCCTTTCTTTTCTGCTATCCTCTCTTCTGTGCGTGTGCTTGTAAACTAATCTGTTACAGCTTCGTGATTCTCTTATCACCGAGGTTGCAGAAACTAAAGCTCGCATTGAACAGCTGCAATCTGAAGCCGAAGGTCGTGATGAGGCATTTCAGGAAGCCGATCGAGAATTCAATGAAGCATCGGTGGCTCTCCAGGAGGCTAAAGATGCTCAGGCAGCTGTGGAGGAGAGTAAGGCAGAAATCAAACAGCGGTATGACGAGGCAGTCAAAGAGCGGACGGGACTCCAGGTATGTCGCCTATCCCTTGCATGAAATATACGTATGATTGCTAAAATAAAAGTAAAACAAAAGGCTCAACAAGCTATGATCAGAGAGCATTTAATGGACAACAAGAGGATAATTGCGGATACCCAGAGGAAGATTGCGGAAGAGCACGCGAGACTGGAGACCTTGAATGGCGGCGCCACCGCAGCAAGACTCAATGAGCTTGAAGAAAGAAGGTCTGCGGCGTCTGCTGCCAAAGATAAATATAATAATCACCGGCAGAATGCCGACCAACTACAAAAAGCCATCTCCGAAGCAGAGGAGGCTGTTAACGAGAAATCAAAGCCGATACGGGAGAAGAAAGCTGAGATCAATGATGCGGAAAATCAGTTGCGAACTTTGATGACAAGAGATAGGGGTCAACAAGATGGGTTTCCTGAGAAGATGCCCTTGCTTCTGCAAGCAATTGCTGCCGAACGTGGATTTTCTCAACCGCCAGTCGGGCCACTGGGACAACATGTACGGCTCTTGAAACCAAAATGGTCCTCCATTTTGGAAAATGCGTTTGGTGCAACATTGTCAAGCTTTGTCGTTACATCAAAACGTGATATGAATGTGCTGTCTGGCATAATGCGGCGGGTCGATTGGTAGGTTGAACGAGACTCCGTACAACCCACTGAAAAAAAAAAAAATCTCTCTAACACATGATCGATAGTGTCTGTCCAATATTTATTGGGAACTCACAAGGAAGGATAGACACTTCAGGCCACGAGCCTGATCCTCAATTTGATACCGCGTTAAGGGTGCTAGAGGTTAGACTTTACTTTACTCCTGTGCAAGCTGTGTGTTCAATTAACATAGGTCGCCTGTCCGATTTAGATTGATAATGATATGGTTCGCCGCCAGCTAGTGATAAACCATGGTATCGAGCAGATGCTACTGATCGAAGATGTTGAAGAGGCATCAAAGATCATGTTTGACGGTGCAAGGCCCAGGAATGTTAAGCGGTGCTATTGCATAGATTCTAGGGATAAGAGACGCGGTATACACCTCGCATTTGGGCGAATGGGGGATCCAAGCCAATCCCCTATTCCTGCGTTTACCGGAAGACCACGAATGAAAACGGATACTGAAATTCAAATAAGGTAGAGCATCATCCCGTCAGTCATATATGACAAGTTTGGTTTCTGATTCATCTCTAGGTTACAGCAGGAGGTTGTCGACAGCCTCAAACGAAACCTTGGTCAGCTTGGACAGGAGCATCGTGCTGCCATCCAGCATCTCCAGCGGCAAAAACAGTTGTTCTCTATCCATCAAAACCAAGAACATGAGTTGTTTGTTGAAAGTCAGAGGGCGGAGGATAAAGCTGATGATCTCAAAGACGCAATTGATAGAGACAGTATCGAGGATGGGCGACTGGAAGCTCTAAATTTGGCCATGAAGGAGACAGAAGAGGAGATGAAATTGCATGAACGCTCCTTTGAAGATTGTGTCAACGCAAAGGACGCGGCAACCGCCAAGGTGAAAGAAATAAAAAAAGAGCTAGCTGCAAAAGATGCCGAAATCTCCGGTATCTCTAACAATACCCGTCAGGCAGAAGCAGACCTAGCGCGTAAGGTAAATAAGAGGCATGCGGCACTTGTTAACAAAAACGAGGCCATTGCAAAGACGAACAATATTAAAGCGCAGGTTGTTCAAATTGAGCGGAGACAGGAAGAAACAGAAGCTCGAATCGCAGATTTTATCCAAAAGGCAAGTATGGTCGCGCCTAGAGTCTCAATCGATGCAGGGGAAACTGAAGCCAGTCTTGCCGAGAAACTGGACAGGCTAGACAGAGATCTTAGAAGATATGATTCGCAGTGAGTCACGTCCATCCTTCATATATATTCCCGGCTTTTATTAACTGCGTTGTTAAGGATGGGTGCGTCGAGAGAGGAAATTGCAGCTGCAGCGGCAGAAGCGGATGCAAAGTACGAGCGGTCTCGGAACGAAACCGCAGGTTTCAAGACACTCGCACAGGTAAGAATCTTGGGGGGTTTACCAGCCCGCATTACGTTATTATCCAGTTGCTTACCCGCCTTGTAGATGCTCAAACACTCGCTGGTACATCGTCAAGAAAGATGGCAAAAGTTCCGAGCGCATATCACCTCCCGAGCGAAGATACAGTTCATCTATCTTCTTAGTGAGCGAGGGTTCCGAGGAAGGCTTCTGGCAAACCATAGGAAGAAACTGCTAGATATTCAGGTATATGCTCGCTGTTAAATATGTTGTATAGGTCCCGATACTTACTTCCTCCTAGGTCGAACCGGACAGCACCAAGGATGGCATCAGCCGAGGAGCGAGGACCCTTTCAGGAGGGGAGAAGTCCTTCTCACAGATATGTCTCTTGCTGGCCCTATGGGAAGCCATGGGTTCACCCATCCGCTGTCTGGACGAATTGTAAGCTACATACTATCCTACTTTCGTACTATCCAGTACTAACACCGTTCAGTGACGTTTACATGGACTCTGTTAACCGAAAGATGGCCATTGACATCTTGGTAAGGCTCCAGCAGTGATTCTGCTGCCTCTCTTTCTCTATCCATCACCTCATGCCATGCTTACCCCGGTGTTTCTCTATAGATGTACGCTGCTAGATGCTCTGTTGGACGTCAGTATATTCTCATCACTCCTGGCTCCAGATCAGAAATCACTGCCGCCCCCGATGTGCGTGTGAAGGAGTAAGTTCACCTCCCATATTTGCCTATATAACACCCGGTCTTTATGCTTACTCTGCTTCTAGGCTTGCCGAACCAGAACGGGGCCAGCGTACTCTCTCTTTTGCCCAGTGAGCCGGCCTCCTTCTATTCTGTATATAATATATACTAGCCTGTACATATTCCCCAATACTCCTACGCTCTTATCCTACGCTCCTATCCTACGCTCCTATAATTCACCCTTACGTGCTCTCTTTTCTATTTCTATATTTTTATATTCACTCGTAGAATCCTCTCTTGGCGCACGGGCCAAGCCTTCTTCTAAAAAGGAAAAAAAAAAGCTTTCTCGCTTTCTTTTGACGTACCAAAAAACTACAACGAACAACGAACAACTCGCACGCACACATAAAACAACCTGATATCACTGTCTCTCCCCTCGAACTACAGTATTTCGAACCCTAGAAACCATCTGACCTTCTCAGACTCGCCTATCTTGAAAGAACAAGGGATAAAAGAGGACCTCTAAAACGCACCCCCTCTCCGCAAACAATACGAGCCGCGCAACTTCGAAGGCCACACGAGAATCAAACCCCAATTTCGCCAGCAAGACTATATCGCTAAAGGCATCCGTACGAGCCCATTATCCATTTGCCATACACGCTGTTACGTTCCCCCGTACATTGCTTACCCTCCCCACCAAGCAGCTTGCGGCTCGAACAAAACTACCCGTGAACCGCTCCCTCCCCAGTTACGTCAACATTGCCCGAAGACGTAGAGACACACACACATACACACACTTAATCTGGACGTGATTCGACGACTCTCTTCTCCTCCACGCTATTCTAAACCTCCTCCCGCTTTTTTCTAGCTCGCCCACCATGACCGATTCTCTTGCTACCCAGTTGAACAACACAAAGCTAAGGTTTGTTGGACCATGTCCTCATTTGGTCACATAACATTTGCTTACATCGATTACAGCGACAGTAGCCAGGATAACAAATGGAAAGAAAAATTGAAAATCCCTGCCAAAGATACAAGGGTACAGACTGAAGTAAGATACCGTTGGGCTCCTTAATGTTGGCTGATATTCTAACCTGGTTTGCAATTAGGATGTTACGGCCACTAAAGGATTGGAATTTGAGGACTTCTATATTAAGAGAGACCTAATGATGGGAATCTTTGAAGCCGGATTTGAAAAGCCATCACCTATCCAAGAAGAAACTATCCCCGTTGCTCTCACAGGTCGTGATATTCTTGCCAGAGCGAAAAACGGAACCGGAAAGACGGCCGCATTCGTTATTCCCACCTTAGAGCGTACCAACCCCAAAATAGCCAAAACTCAGGCTCTTATACTAGTGCCCACTCGAGAGCTAGCGCTGCAGACATCCCAGGTCTGCAAAACGCTCGGAAAGCATCTCGGTATCATGTCATGGTCACAACGGAGGAACAGGCTTACAGACGACATCATTCGTCACGACACAGTACCATCATGTGACACCAGCAGATTCTTGATCTCCCGAGCAGGCGTTGCTGATCTGTCAGAATGCACACTTTGTTATGGATGAAGCGGACAAACTTCTCTCACCCGAATTTACTCCAGTCATCGAGCAGCTCCTGACCTTCCACCCAAAAGATCGCAAGTTATGCTCTTTAGTGCCACTTTCCCAATCATCGTAAAGACTTTCAAGGTATTTTTAACCCTAGCCATTCTTTTAGTTGTAACCGTCAACTAATATACCATAAAAGGACAACATATGCGAAATCCCTATGAAATCAACCTTATGGACGAGCTCACCCTTCGGGGCATAACGCAATATTATGCATTCGTAGAAGAGAGACAAAAAGTGCACTGTCTCAATACCCTGTTCTCGAAACTCCAAATCAATCAGTCCATCATCTTCTGCAATTCGACAAACCGTGTTGAACTACTTGCCAAGAAAATAACTGAACTTGGATACTCATGCTTTTATTCCCATGCTCGCATGCTGCAGCACAACCGAAATCGGGTGTTCCATGATTTCAGGAATGGTGTCTGCAGAAATCTTGTCTGCTCGGATCTGTTGACTCGTGGTATTGATATTCAAGCCGTTAACGTGGTAATCAACTTTGACTTCCCCAAGAATGCCGAAACTTACTTGCATAGAATTGGTCGTTCCGGCCGTTTTGGGCACCTTGGACTGGCAATAAATCTGATCAATTGGGAAGACCGATACAATCTGTACAAAATCGAACAGGAACTAGGCACTGAGATCCAGCCCATCCCTCAGTCCATTGACAAGAAATTATATGTTTACGATACACCAAACACCATTCCTCGGCCCATCTCCAACCCCGAGCCACGCAAACCCGCTACCCTAGAGAACCAGCCCCGACGGCCAGCCAATAACCCGTCCAATGGCCACGGACAATACAGCTCCAATCGCGGCCATTACGGCCGTGGCTCGTATCGCGGTGGTCGTGGGTCAGGCCAACGTTCAAACAACATGGAAAATCAACGAGCTGCCGGAAATGCGCAGAACAGCACCCCTAACTCAGGGCCGCCTGCATCGTAAATGAAGGCATCTTTGTGCACCATTTTCTCGATTTGTTGTTTCCCGTTTTCTTTTGTTCCAACACCCATCACGATCCCTTAACGCCAATTTTCCCACTCACCTCGATATACCCCCCTCCCCCATCTCCCGTGGTGCTACGTTTAACCTGACACTCCACCATCAGTATTCAAAAAAAGAATCCCAACACTCTCTGATTTATTATGCACCCCGCGGCGTCTTCAACCCATGTTGATGTTGCAGGCATTGTATCATATATTCCCTTTCTTGAAGCCACCCCGGATTCGATACAATAACGGCAAGGCCCCGCCGCCACTTGAGCCCTAGTTACGGGCGGTTATATTACTTCCAATGCTGTTTACGCCTCCTTAATTAACCACTCTCGAACCCACTACAAAACCTTTCGATCCAGACGCTTGATATTGACTGTCGGTTTACCTTGACAATACTTTTCGAGTAACTGGCATCAACACTTGACCTAAAGATTACTCTTACAGAGATCTTGTATCACAAGTTCCGGATTCCAAATGCTCTCCGCCTTATCATCGTCCATCTCGTCTTTCGCTACTATCCAGCCTATATTCAGAGCCACCCTTGATATCTCCCCAGATACCAAAAAGGATTGATATAAAAGGCCTGCGAAAGGACAAATCAAATCAAGAAGATACCGAAATAAAAAAGAAAAAAATTACCAAAAAAAAAAAAAAAAATCAGGGGATACTTACTAGGAGTCTTCTTCCAGGGTTTGTCAACTTCACCAGAGAATGAGTGTCCTATTCATTGCACTCATCGCACTTTGTACCCTAGATTATTCACACCTAGCCAATGCCATTTTCAGTTTCCTCTGAGCTGTCTCTTTAACCAAAATTTACGTATGGTGTCAGCCACGGCAAAGAGTAGTTAAGGCTGTATATATTGGTTTTCTTCTATGCAAGTCGTAGGTATAGCTATTGTAGGTTATAATTGTTAGCATTGACCAGTATTCTCATCCCGATGCTGTACTTTGATATGTAACCTAGAGGAAAGCACTAAATTTGGTCGCGTAAAAAAAGGTTGGACCGCGAGGAAGAAAGCTGGAGGAAAATATCCCACCAAGACGGCGATATTCAATTGAACGCGATGGCTACTAAAGAGAACGACCAGAAGCCAAAGGTTTGATCCTCCCTCTGCTTCTCATAGTCCAGGATACCGATCTGACTTCAAGTTACGCAGCCGAGCAGCCTGAGGTCCATCATCGCCGGTTCGAGCGCTGGGGCTGTTGAGATCTGTGAGCCTCTACAATTACAATAACCACCCCAGAGCTGGGCTTCAAAAACGCCGCTGACACTCCCTATAGCTATTACTTACCCTGCGGAATGTATGCTTCCCCCAGTTGTCACCGGCCTCCTCCTCCCCTAGCTGACCAAACGGGACTCTCATCGTTGCAGTCGCGAAAACCAGAACCCAGCTCAACCGCAGACTACCAGATGCTAAGAAACTACCGTGGCCTCCATTTGGCCCGGCATGGTATGCGGGATGCACGACGTTGATTATTGGTAACTCAATAAAAGCCGGAGTCCGTATGTTCAAGCTCTTTTTCTTTGCCGTGACGGAGTTTCACGACTCACCCCCATCCGTCTGACAGGATTCGTCGCGTTCGATGCTTTCAAGTCCCTACTACAAGACGAGAACGGAAAGATTTCGGGCCCAAAAACTGTGATAGCTGGGTTTGGAGCTGGGTTTACCGAGTCCCTCCTGGCAGTCACTCCGTTTGAGAGCATCAAGACCCAACTGTACGTGTTAAGCCACGTCTAGGAGATTCGACGACAGGCACGCTAATACACCCGGCTACCAACAGCATAGATGATAGAAAATCTGCTAAACCACGGATGCGTGGCTTTTTGCACGGAAGCGCCGTAATATTCCGCGAGCGAGGCGTTCGTGGTTTCTTCCAGGGATTTATACCTACAACTGCACGACAAGCAGCTAATTCCGCGACGAGATTTGGGAGCTACACCACCCTACGGCAGTTTGCCCAGGGCTATATAGCGCCTGGCGAGAAGCTCGGGACGTTAAGCACCTTTGCCATTGGCGGAATGGCCGGTCTTATTACAGTGTATGTACATCACTGTATTTCGTGCCTACCCAATGATTTCAAGGGCATGCGGCTAACAAAACATGTGTAGATACGTTACTCAACCCCTGGATACCGTGAAGACAAGGTGGGACCGTTTCATTCTTTCGAGCACCAGTAGTTGGGCTAGCCTAGACTAATACTATGTAGGATGCAATCACTGGAAGCAAGGAATAGCTACAAGCACAGCCTTGATTGTGTAGCAAAGATATTGAAAAATGAAGGAATCCTCACCTTTTGGTCTGGAGCAGTACCACGACTTGCTAGACTGGTCCTCAGTGGTGGCATTGTTTTCACAATGTAAGTGCATCCATCAATATGTTCGCATCACCTTATGGCTGTTGTTCGCTTAGAAGCTAATTGGGAATAAAAGGTACGAGAAAACTATGGAGGGTCTTGATAGACTTGATCCTGACAGAAAGTACATCTAAGCCTTGTTGTACTTGAGGAACAATAAAGTCCCAACGTCAAATTGGTTATTCTGTTAACAACCCGGAGTTTTCGCTCGTTTGTGTTCTATGTATAATTGGAAAGACCGCGATAGACTATAGCCATTTACTCAATGCTGTGACTTTTGAAAAACGGAAGTAGGCCATGCTTTATAGCCTCATTATTCAATGGGCACCCTAGCTACTATATTGAACAGCGCCATCTATTCCATACCTATGGCAGGATGGTCGTTGACACGACCTCGAACCCAGAAATTCTAAAGTTATACCTGCTTCAAAGGCTAACTGGTGATCAAATGTGTGTAACGGCTATCTTGGACATCAAAATATCGTGTTGGGTAATATACAATATTGTACATAGACTTTCATCAGGTCTCCTTATACTCTCTAAGCTGCAGCCTTCTGAGGAGTCTTGCTTTCAGTAGGAGCGGCTTGCTGCTCAAGACATAGGGCTTCGACCTCCTGGTCTACAAGCCAGTTCTGAACACTCTCCATTATCTTTTCAAGATTCTCGCCGCCATCCATCACCTTTCCGATATTGTGAACAGTCATGCCGCTTCGGTGATCTGTACATCGGCTCTGGGTGAAGTTGTAAGTGCGTATTTTATCTCCTCTGCCTGTTTTGTTAACGCCTCCCATGGCGCCGCGGCGTAGCTCCATCATCTCTTGTTCCCGGGCTTCTCGTCTTGCCTGGGCTAGCTTGGCTCTGAGCAGCAGCCAGGCTTTCCGGCGATTCTCATGCTGAGACCGGGAATCTTGCATGGAGATAACCGTTCCGGTGGGAATATGTGTTAGACGCACTGCAGACTCTGTTTTGTTGACATGCTGGCCGCCAGCACCACTGGCCCGGAATTTCTCAGACTGCACGTCTTGTGGGTTGACATAATAGTCCGAATTCGGGTCGTCGAAATTTAGGGGGCTGTCTCCTTGGTTGTTGTCGGGGAAACTGGGCAGTATCATGACGCTCACAGCACTTGTGTGTGTACGTCCCTTTGCCTCTGTTGCTGGTACCCGCTGAACACGATGTACACCAGCCTCGGTCCGGAGAATGTTATAGCTCCCGGGCGTTTCGATTTCCATTACCGCCTCGGAGAGCCGTTCCTCTGCGCCTGCGCCCACTCCGTCCTCTGTCTCCTTTTTAATAATGGCAGTTCTCAGGCCACGACTGGAACAGAACGCCATATACATACGAAGCATCTCTGCAGCGAAAAGCCCTGCCTCGTCCCCTCCTGCGCCCGGGCGAATTTCAATAAGACAGGGCATGTCTGCGAATGGATGGCGAGGGATCAATGCTCGTTTTAACGTTGCCGATAGAGATGACAATGTCGCAATAGTGGATGTAATATCATCCTGTGCAAGAGACTTGAGTTCTGCATCGGTAGATGGCTCGTTTATGAGGCCTTGAAGCTCCGTGATAGACTATATAGGCCCAGGATCTCGTTAGAACGTAAGCCATATACTTTACACATTGCAGCTGAAGAAAACCAAGCCATACCTCATTAGCCCTATCCCAGTCTTTCAAAGCGTTCGCAACAGGAGCAAGCTCCCCTAACCGCCTTGCAGCCGCTCGTTCGAAAGACTCTGCCTGTTTTGTAGAGAGGGTAGCATGTTCCGCAGCAAGAGTTCTCGCCCTGTTCAGCAATACGGGGGATAAGTCGACATCGCTGGTAGTTCCTAAAAGACGTGTTAGCATCAAATCACAGTTAAATGGAATAAATAACTGCAACATGGTGAAGGTATCACATACCTGTGGTGCTATACTGTCTCGACAGTGCCCAAGTTCTTTTGGGCTGTGCAAGCCGGAGAGATCGTGATAGACACCGCAAGCATGTCCACGTCGAGCTTCCAAGCATTACTCTCGTGCAATTGATTCTTTCAATATAAAACTCCAACTCTTCGTCTTTCTTCTATCTTTCCTATTTCCATTTCCTCTTTTCTTCTCTTGGAGCGCAAATTCGATATCACATGACTATCGGATAAATATATATTCCCTTAATCCAGAAATGGACTAGCGCATCTGGCAATTTTAATCGGATTAATAAAAATCCGAAATCCCGATGAAGCCACCTTTTCTTACCCTTTTGGGACGAACTTGAGGTTGTATAGAAAAGTTGCCACGAAAGCTTCAACTTTTTCAGCTTCTTCAGCCTTTTCGTTCGTTCCTTTGGTGTGGTGTTGCGCTGTTAGATGTGCTCGTCTTTCTCTGGTATTCTTTGCTGAATCAACTGGTGATATATCTTGCTCTTATCTGTGTCGGCTGCGCTGGATTCGTCATGATTCTTCGATTCCAGACGGTGGCTTTCCTCCTGGCCGTTATATCGTCCGCAAACGGTCTTCAGGCTTCTGATATACCGCCTGACACCCCAGTCTCCTCTCTGCTCTCCTCCGCAAAAACGCATCTTGCCAACGGCTCCCCTAAGGATGCGCTCCTCTACTTCGACGCCGCCATTACAAAGGATCCGTCCAACTACTTGACTATCTTCCAGCGAGGAGCAGCCTACCTCTCCCTTGGAAGACACTCTCGTGCTGCAGAAGATTTCAACCAGGTTCTCAAGCTCAAGCCAGGCTTCGAGGGCGCACTTCTGCAGCGTGGAAAGCTACGCATGCGTTCTGGAAACTGGACGGGGGCTAAGGAGGATCTTGAGGCTACGGGGAAACCAGGGGAGGCCGAGTTAGCTCAGCTGCACGAAGCTCAGGCTGCAGTTGCTCATGCGGAGGAGGCGGATAAGAAACAAGACTGGGCCACCTGTGTCTCTCAGTCGAGTGTTGCAATTATGAAGGCGATGGGTTCTGCTGAGCTTCGACGGCTACGAGCAAAGTGTTATCTTGAGAGAGGAGACATTCAAGAAGCTATTAACGATCTCACACGTCTCACCCAACTATCTCCAAACGTCGTTCAGCCTCACCTCCAGATTTCGGCAATGCTCTTCTACTCACAAGCAGACACGGAGCGTGGAATGGACCAGATTCGAAAATGTCTTCACTCTGATCCCGATTCCAAGGTTTGCAGCCGTTTGTTCAGGGGGGAGAAGAGAAATTCGAAGCAGATCAAAAATCTCAACAAATATTTGGAAACTCGCAAGTTCCACAAGGCTGTTGAGTTGTTGGTAGGGACCAAAGACGAAGCCGGGTTGCTAGAGGATATCCAACAGGATGTCAAGTCAGCCCAAGAAGACGGATATATTCACCCCAAAGCGCCCAACAGTCTCTATGAATCCTTGGTTGAGAAAACGTGTGAGGCATACAGGGCTGTTTGTGAACCCCCACATCTCATAACATCTTTAAGCGTACTAACTGTCGACTAGATGAATTCCAAACGAAAAGCGCGACCATACTGTAGTCAATGTCTTGAATTCAATCCCTCTTCGCTTCACGGCCTCCTATCGAAGGCTGAGGAGCATATCGATGCCGAGCAATACGAAGCAGCTATTCAAACACTTAACACTGCCAGTGAACACCACTCTCACTCGCAGGATATCCATACCCTTCAGCAAAAGGCCCAGACCCTTCTAAAACGATCAAAACAAAAGGATTATTACAAAGTCTTAGGCGTTGATCGCGAGGCAGACGAGGCCACGATTAAACGAGCTTATCGTAAGCTCACGAAGCAATATCACCCTGACAAAGTCCACAGCCAGGGTATCCCCAAGGAAGAGGCCGAGAAGAAGATGGCAAGCATTAACGAAGCCTACGAGGTCCTCTCTGACGCCGAACTAAGGAACAGATTTGACCATGGTGATGACCCTAATGATCCTCAGGGCGGCCAACCGCATTTCAACCCCTTTGGACCCGGAGGGGGAGGTTCTCCATTCTTCTTCCAGCAGGGTGGAAGCCCTCACTTCAAATTCGCACAAGGGGGCTTCGATTTCCAAGGCGGTTTCCCCTTCTAACTATTTTTACCCTATAGATCAATTATAATGCCTGTTGCTTCCAAACTTTTCTTCCCCCACCAATTCTTTATTTGGTAAACCTTGCTCGTTACTCAGATGCTGTGCATATCCCTTACCTGTCTGCCTCCTGAGGCCGTCTTTCTTGTATATTTAGAGTATTCGATATTTGTTCAATTGTAGAGTTATGTTGGATACAGGTCTCTGATTACCCAATTAGTAGCTGTCTCAGCAGCTAAGCAGATGCAAGGTGCTTATGGGAGTCAATGTAATACAGTTGGTCCATTGATATAAACTGCTCCTTACCATTGAAAGATGTTCCTCTCACATATAGTTATGAATCATAAAACTAGTTAGGAGCCCAGGAAACCGAGTCATGACGTGTTGATAAGTGTCGCAGCGTAGATGACAGCGACAGGCCCTAACCTTACGGCATTCAACTTTGATGAGAATCGATATCGGCTATTCTTTAGGTGCATCAGTTAGAGGGACATAACTGACGCCAAACACTTGTTTTTTGTTAACAGAACCGTCTTCTTTCTTGTCCACAATCCACACATGCTGTGCCTTAGTACCTATCGCATGGGTATCAGTATCGGATTCGACCGGAATGAACATTCGGCCTGGAGCACGAAGCTGATCTATCAATTCAGCATGCATCGACGCTGCAGCAGCACCAACATGAATAGCGTCATATGGTGCGCCTTCTGCCCAGCCCTTGCGCCCATCACCTTTGACGATCTTGATCTTTCCGGATTCTAGCAACTGGCGGCCACTTTCTGACTTGGCCAAGTTCCTAAGTGACATATCAACTAGGCCCTGGATATGGTCAATACCAACGACACAGCCGTCTGCTGCGGGAGCATCGGTAATCAACTCGGCGAAAACATGGCTAAGGTATCCCGAGCCGCAGCCAATGTCAAGAACCCGAGCACCTGGGTGGATGAATGGGAGCAGATATTCACAAGCGTGACCATGCATATGTGGGGCAGAAATGGTGGCTGCGAATCCGATCGACTGAGGAGCATCGGTATAGGGGTTGCAAGGTGCATAATTAGCACGATCAACCTGTACCCAGGAGGTTAGACATACATCTAGAACCAGAATATGAAAAGTACTAGTAAGTAAAAAGCCTGGTACACATTTGACATACCTTCAACATCGCATTCTTGACCCTCTCGCTCTTAATGAGCTCACAAGTAAAAAGGTTCTCGATCAGCTGGAAGTTGGACCTCCCTGAACATTGCCACGCCATTTTTACAGGCTGCTTATGGAAGAAATAGCCGGTGAGAAAGAGCAAAGTCCTGTGGTAGCCTTCCAAAGTAGATAACGCGAGCGACCGAAGTGGCTGGTGTGGGAGTGGGACGTAGTCCACGATAGCAGCAGTTGCAATGACTACAATACAGAAGACCCAGATACGGCTATTTATCGAGCACTGCACTTTGGGTAAGAAAGAGCGCCGTTTTAAAGATAGCATGCAAAGCTCTAGATATAGCTCCTTTTTGCTCCACCCGGTAAGCTAACTGCCGCGTGGGGCTTCGAGGGTGTTAGTCGTGAACTGTATAAATATTCAAGCGTAGCAGGTGTGTTGCCAGTGCTGCCGTATTGTGCAATACCGATATCCTGGGGTGCCCGATGGTGAAAGATGAGGTCGAGAAATCTGATCTGTGGGTTGAGATAGTTAATAATATAATAATTGGGCTGCAAGGAAAGCTGGCAGCTGGAGCACCCCGTGACGTCATCGCTTGGCGAGGAAGCTCCCTAATGAATATCAAAAGAAAACATGAGCAAATCGAGAGCAGTTCAACAACTAAAAAACTAGATCAGTTTCACGTCGTCCCCTGCGTCACATGCAGTCTCGTCGTTAGCTTCGTCGGCGGGCGCCATCTGTGCTGGATCGTCTGCTCCCCAGGGAAGGTCATCGCCCTGTGGGTTCTGAAAGAAACTGTGTTGTAGCGCCTGCGCCGCGGTATATCTAGTTTTTGGGCTCAGGTCAAGAAGATGGTTCAAAAGCCGTATAGCTTGCTTCTCTCTGCCAGTCAGTTCATCGAGACAGCTTGACCATAGTATTATTCTCGCCAGAGTATAGCCCTTTTCTCCAATAGACGGGATGTTCGTGTCGAACACCAGACCGTGTTCTGCCGCAGCCCGTTGCATTCTGCGGTATCCAAAGATGCATGCTATCTCAATGAGGGCATCCGCATCATCCAATGAATGAAAAAATGGAAATCGCCTGGCCATGAATGTGAGGAGAATCACTCCAACTGACCAGACATCAATCTTGGTGCTTTGGCAGGGACATTTGAACAGCACCTCTGGGGCACGGAACCCACGAGTCCCTGCGCGATTGGCCCGTCGGGAGGGCCTAGAGTCGTTCCTTGGATATCCAGCTGGGGCCTGTGACGGCCCGCCCTGGGCGGCTTCCATAATTTTCTCGATCTTGGGGGTATAAGACATCCGGGGATCTTTGCATAAGCAGCCTATACCGTCACTTTCGTACTATACTCATTCTTTCAGCATTACACTGGACTACTGGGATGACTGTTATATCCAAGTACTCACCTCCGCGAGGCCAAAATCTACTAGAACACCCCGACGAAGCTTTGGGTTGTACAAAAAGTTCCTAATAAGAGACTGTCAGGGCTGGTTTATGGAGGGAGAAGCTGGCGGGGGCTTGGGGGGGAGGGTTGGGTACATACGTAGGCTTGATGTCCCTGTGAATAACTTCCCGACTGTGCACAAAAGCAAGGCCACCCAGTAGGGACTTGAAGTAGTGCCGCATATCCTCGACAAGGAAGGTACGAAACATCAGCCGAAAATCTGTGTGTGGGAAGTACGGCAGCACAGCAATGACCTGATCATCGAGCCGGAACGCTGCTTTGATATGACACACCGACGGGTCTCCACGCAAGTCATACAGAATTTGGAGCTCGTTCAAGATCCTGGAAGGACTGCTTGTGACGTAGATTTTCTTGAGAGCACATATCTCTTCGTCTTTGCTCGAGGTTTCTTGGGAGTGAGAGG